ATTGTTCTACCTGTTTGTCATTCCTGCGTACATCCATTCAGATAGAGGTACATCGCTGATTTCACAGGAATTAAAAGCATTCCTCTTATCTAATGGCGTCGCATCCAATAGATCAACTCCTTACAATCCACAAGGTAACGGCCAAGTTGAAAGGTACAACGGAATTATCTGAAAGACAATACTACTTACGCTCAAGTCTAAACATTTTCTTGTAACTAAATGTTAATCAGTTTTACCTGAGGTTCTACATTCTGTGCGTTCTCTATTATGTATAGTAGCAACTAATGAGATACTGCATGAAAGGATGTTCAATCATCCCAGACGTCCGGAGAACGGAGAATCACTTCCCAGCTGGCTTATGAACTCTGGGCCTATTTTCTTAAAACACCATTCTAAATCTGATCCTCTTTTAGAGGAAGTAACCCTCTTGGATGGTAATGCTGAATATGCTCATATTAGCTATCCACTTCACCTCCTATTCCATTCACACCTTCCTAGATTGCCGAACAAATCAAAAAGTTGCCTAAAAGAAAAGCTCCTGGACATGACTTGATTAACGCTGAAGTCTAGTGCTTTTGACAACTATTTATAATGCAATACTGAGGACAACTAAATTTCCAATACAGTGGAAATACTCATATATAATTGGCAAGCCTAACAAGGACAAAAACTCACCTTCCTCATAATTTTTAAAAAGCTTACTGAACAAAAGACTTGTTGATATACTAACAAACACCCAAATAATACCTGACCATCAATTTGGATTTAGGGCACATCACTCAACTGTACACCAACTACATAGAGTAACGGACTACGTATCTACAGCACTAGAGCAGAAAGTATATGCAACTGGCGTATTTCTGGATGTTGCTCAAGCGTTTGACAGAGTTTGGCACCAGGGTCTTCTCTTTAAACTCAAGACAATACTCCCACCTACATATTATCTAATTTTACGATCCTTCCTTTCCGATAGATTTTTCTCGGTCCGAAACGGGTCAGAGTTATCTTCCATCAGGTCTATCTCAGCAGGAGTACCTCAAGGTTCAGTACTCGCTCCACTACTCTATATCACATACACCCATGGCATACCTTGCAGTCACAACATTTTAACAGCGACATATGCAGACGAGACAGCAATTTTAGCAAGACATAAAAACCCAATATACGCCTAACATACCCTACAACAGTATTTAACAAGATTACATGACTGGTTCAAAATTTGGAAAATCAAGACAAATCACAGCACATCACATTTACGCTTCGACATGAAACATGCCCTCCAGTTTTCCTTGACAATACACAGATTACACAGACAGACACCGTTCACTACCTTGGTCTGATATTTGACAGAAAAATGACGTGGGGCCCACATATAATCAAGAAACGAAAATCGCTAAATCAAAGGTTTAGAATTCTGAGTTCACTTCTTTCGAAAAATTCAAAACTAGAACAGACAGAAATTGAACACGTACAATTACTTACTAAAACCTATTTGGACTTACTTACTAAAACCTATTTGGACTTACTTACTAAAACCTATTTGGACTTACGCGTCACAGATATTTGGAAGTGCTAAAAAGACTCACTTAAACAAACTTCAAATCTTACAAGCAAAAACATTCAGAACAATTACAAAAGCACCTTGGTACGTTAGCAACATAACCTTACATACTGACCTCCATATGCCGACTTTTAACGAACACATACGAACTCATAACAAACGATTCCATGACAACTTATAAGGACATCCTAATACACTTATAAATGACATGGCCACTACGAATATGTCAGGTAACGTCTGTAGGAGACTGAAGAGGAGCTGGATGAGGGACCTCCTCGACTAATGTAGATATCACGCCGAGTGAGGTGCCGCTGGGCACTGATCCTCCTCATGCCTCTCATGACATTATATTTTGCAATCGATTTCACATTCACTGGTTTTCATTACCATTATGACAGGTGTGAATAAAAAATTAAAGCTAAAAAAAAAAAATATTAGCTATCTAGATGGAAGGGAAACAACGGTATCGACCGGATATCTTGCTGTTATCGGGAGCAGTAGAAATTCTACCTTATATGAAGAGAAGGTAGATAGCAATCAAGGGGCACCTATCGTCACTGAAGCGGAGGAACACGTCAGATCTAGTTCGGTAGTTGTACCACCTGTTCAGGAAGTTGATTTTTCTGGGTGTAATGTACAAAACCAAGGACAAGCAGTGAACAACCCTACCGAGGATAGGTCTCTACTACGAACTAGCTCAAGAACTAGAAGACCTCCCTCATACTTAAAAGACTATGTTACCTCTTAAATGAATAAGATGGTGTGAATGTTATGAATTTAAGTAAATTTAGATTAGCGTATGTTTTCAAAACATCAAAATTCATTAATGTTGTTGTATTCTATGAGTTGAATAAAACCTTACGTTGAAGGTATTCTTTATTTCATTACACATTAGATCCCAAATCCAGCTGGTATCTTTAATTACATTACCATTTATTTCATCTAATTAGTTTGATAAAAAAAAAATTTGATATATGTTGAACATATGAATATATTGCTAAACCAAACTATTTATTTTAATTCTCTTGATACCGACAGCAGATGGAAAATATCAAAATCGAGATACAAAAATACTAGCATAGTGAAATAACCATTTATATATTTGTTTGTCCTATAGTTTGTGAAATGTCTAAAGACATCATTAAACAAAGATACGATAGTTAAAAAATAAAGGACATAAAAGATCTTACTTGGTTATGTTGAGAGGTACAGTGACGTGTCTCATTTCTTTAATACGTTGAAATTGGGAGATTTTATGTTCCTATCTTATAAATTTAAATTTAATAAAGTTTCTGTAGTCATGAGAATTTTTATGGTTAGTTTCTAAGCCATAAGTTAGTTTAATGATTCTTCCATAAACACTTACTCTATGGGTTGGCAATATTGCGCTTGTTGTGCCTCTTATTTTCAGTGATTCCCGGTGTCGGGCTCTGTAGTGATGTCTCCTCAAGTTTTAAATGGCTTCCACCCCAGGTGGATGTCAGTCGGAACCTTCTCCATCGAAATAGGTTTCTTAGCAGGTAATAGCGTGCAATTTACTTTAAAAGTGTTTTAAATACGGTTATTTTTGTAAAATTGATTGTTTAGAACTTTTAAAATGGCTGTTGTGGCTTATAATGGATTTATAAACAGTTATTAGTGTAGTGTGATGTTTTAGTTCATATCAATAATGGCGGATCGTCAAGTTCTGTTTATTTTATATATAATGAATATAATTTTGTATTTCTTCCTGTATTTATCGTGGTATTAGTAGTTATTTAAGTCTTAATACGCATTTTTGTGTTTTCTGTTACATCGAGTTTTGTTATAACCTGCTCAGGTTTTATGTTAAATCATATGACAGTAATTTCGTCGTAAATCTTGTTCAGGCGAGTAATTGTAAAGTTTTTGATTTAATAAATGAAATCAATTGTTTGTATCACACTCCTTCATAGAAGTTATTTCGTCTCAAAAAGTGCAATTAGATTAGTTACTACACGTGAATTCCTTTAAGATAACTATTGTATTCTTTGTTTTAATTGTGAAATTATTTACAGTTAATATTCTAATTGTATTAGTTTTAGAGGGAATGCTTTTCAGTTAACAGTAGTATTGTTTGCAAATGTCAGATGATTAATAGTATTGAAAATAGTCTGTTCCTTTGGAATGTTTTCAATATCTAGTTCTTCACTGTTTTAATTTATTATAGATTTTTCATTTGGATTACATTTTAATTTAGTGTTATATTCCTGATTATGTCAGAAAACGTGATGCCAATGATGAGAAATAATCCATAAATCTCTGTCTAAACCATAATCACACATGTAGTCTAAAATATTATTAAGATTGGAAGTGTTCATGCTTTAGGTGCTTTGAAGAGGAAAATACGAACGGGAGTCTATAACTTTTGTATAACACCGACATAGAGCCAATATTGTCCCAATTTTTATTTCAAAGCCAATTTAGAATATTTATTTTCCTTACTCTTCTCATTTGCCATTTCACGAAATTTTTGTTTCTTAGAACTTAATGTATTGATCTCATAGAAGTTGAATTATTAGTGGATTTTAAGTTACTGAAACTGTAATAAAATAAATGGTTTATATGCAGAAATATTCGGTCATATTATTAACTTATCATGGTCCGAAATTGTATGAAGGGTTTTATTTGAGCTGTTGAATGCAAAAGTGGTGTAAGTCCAAAACTGAGACTGGAACAGTTCAAGAGAAGAGGGTTGAACAGTTCAACAGAAAAGCTAGGTATATAATGGTAATGAGTATTTTTTTGGTAAGGAAAAACAGCGTACATTCTCCATTTATAATAGTTTTCAGTCTTTTTCAACTATTAAAAGAATAAATGTAATACATACACTTAGTAGCAAATTAATTATTTATTATTAAAATGATGCGTCCTTTTTGCATCCATTGAACCATTTTTTATCCATAATTTTTAATGTTTTATAGATGATAAATAATTTTAATTCCACATTCGTAATGAAAATATTGCTGAAGTAAGAAATTGTCATTGCAGTACGCCATTCTGGTGTAATATATTTTAGATATTCCAATCATTTAGCATAGTAGTCGGTTGATTTATTTGTTCAGAAAACCTAGTTCTCTACTTCAGGCTTGATTAAAAATCTTTAGTGCAGTCAAAAATAAAACTATTATTTATCGTTAAAAAATACATAATAAATAATTTATTATAGTGATGGTTAGCAAAAACAAACTATTTTTTTTTTTTTTTTCAAACTGTTATTGCTCCATCCCATGGAACTATTTTTCATATTCTTCTAATTAATAAATTTAAAATAATCCTCTGACTTGAGACTATAGTTTAGAGAGATTTAATCTAATTCCACCTATTTTCCTTTCATGAATTTATCCATCTACAGTTTTGTATGTTTCAGCTTTAAACAATAATACTATAACTTAAACAGTATATGACATAAACATTTTTTACAGGTCGTGATGACAAGTTCAGAGGATGTGTTGCTCCAAGTGGGGCAAGTGCGGTACAAGAAAGGAGATGGAACTCTGTACCTCATGACAGAACGACTTGCCTGGATACTTGACCATAAGGATACAGTTTCTGTCAGCCATAGATATTCAGACATCAAATGTATGCTTATATTATTATTTTTGAAATCACTATGATATAATTTCCCTTAGTGAATAGAACAAATTTATTTTTTTAGTAATATTGGATGTAGATTTAGACATTTAGTCTGCTTCAATATTTTAGGCACCCTGTCTGGTAATTTTGCATTTACATCATTCTATTAGTATTTGTGTTGCTTATTATATGTATACGAAAAATATTAATTAAATGAAAAATTTTATAATGTCCTAGTGCAACTATAAATACCTCTTGAATATATTAGATATCAACGAATGCCAAATTTTAGTAAAAAGAAATCTCTTTATTAATGTTAATGCTATTGAATAATAGCATTACAACCAAATTCTATTGCATGTTTCACTACAGTTTTACCTAAAGTGCGCCCCACTCTAACGTCACGCTTTATCAAAGTAGCCTATAAAACCATTTGGGTTAGCAAGATGCCACTAGTTAAAAGGAGGAGCTGTGGTAATTCAGTATATAAGATATGGGCTCCTTATCATTAATCTCCTTGGCCCAGGTTCAGGCCTGGTTTTGGCAATTCATTATTTATATCTGCAATAAATTGGCTCTGGGGCCAAGAGAACCACTCGGGGCACACTGTGTGCACGAAAAAAAAAGTGTACCCTTTGCATAATATTTCATTACGCAATCTTCTTAATTGATTAATATTCTATATAGATTAGTGTAGAGATTTGGAAACTACTTGTATTGTCATCCAGCACCTTCTCAGAGTAGTCCACCTATCTGCTCATTATTTTCTTAGTATTTGCTAGAATATCACCTTCCTCATCTTTTATAACCTCATCCTTTTCTTTCCACATATTTCTAAGGCATCTACAGAAGAGCTTCTGATTTCTTTTTGCATTTCCCTCTCAATTATTTCTGAAATCTTTCAAGCTTTTCTCTTCAGCTGCTCTTACTCCAGATTACCATTATTTATTAAACAGGTGATTTTCACAAGGCATTTGTTTTTTGTTCTCGCATTAGGCACTTGATTTGTAGAGGTTGTATCATGAACAATTACGATTGGGTATACCTAAGAAAGTAGTCTGAGAAGTACAAGAAGATTTCTGTAGTTAAAAATCTCTTAATGGTGAGACATCCTTTTTTTTTATTTAAGGCTCCAAGTTATGAACAACAAGTAATATTGTAGATATATATTTAATTATTTTTAGTTCTTTGGATATTCTTGCATTTTCACATTTATTCTTCTGGGTTTGTTGTTGGATTTTCTTACATCTATCATCTAGAACTGGAAGTAGACGGAAAAATGTCCAATTTATTTGCTACTGTAATAAGCCGAAAAATAATATTTGATTGTATCTGCTGCTGCTAGACTGGGTTTGTGTAAATTTAATGTAAGGTCGCATAAGTTATATTGCTTTTTTTTTTCCTTGTTTATTTCATATATATATATATATATATATATATATATATATATATATATATATATATATATATATATATATATATATATTCTTTATATATAAATATAAATTAATGGAACATTTATTTTCTTTTTGTTTGTTTGTGATGTAAGTATCTTTGTTTCTTTTTTCCAATAAATAATGTATGATTCAGAAATATATTAACTTTCATTGTTTTCCTGGTCATAATACTTTTTCCAATCAAAATAAACTTATTTATTTTTATAATTTGTTTTTTTGACTGATCACCACAACCATTCTTCTTTTTAATTATTCTCTACATTCAACCATCACTTCACAATTACTTTTCCCATAGTTTAATTTCCCTTTTCATTTCTTCCGTTCCGCTAGACTGTTCTTTTTAATCTTTGACGTCTCCTATGTACATTTGCTCCTAAAGGCTTTTACTTCTATGCTTCTGCTTTAAGCAATCATTTATTTTTGTGGCTTTAATAATTCCTGATTTTTATTTATGGTTGAATCCTCCAAAAGCATGTCTATTGTTAAAAGCATATGGCGTCTGTCCCTAGCTTGTATCATCTTGTGACTCTGATGATGTGACCAGAAAATAATCTATGATAGACTTTTGGTTTCTGGAGGATTTCACTCTTGTGATTTGGTGTATTTCCTTGCGAAGGAAAAAGGTGTTATCCTGTTTGCTTAGCAGAGATTTAAAATTCTTTCTCCATTGTCATTCCTGAAGTTTTCCCCCATGTTCTTCTATCACTTCATACCATCCATCAGTTTCTCTTTTCACTCTGCCATTAAGGTCACCCATAAGGATGGTGGTTCTCATTATTTCATCTAATCTCCTCTGTAGGTCATCGAATAAAATATCTTTTTCTCTAACACTAGCATTATTATTGTGGCTGCATGTATAATGAACAATGTATAGTTTTTGTGTTCAGATTTTAAATCCACATTCATAATCATTTCATTTATGGCTCTGCAATCTTGTATGTGTATGCTTAGATCCCTATGTATTACGCATCCTACTCTACCTTTTGCATGTTCCTGGTGGTTTATTTCTGAAAAAAGTAACTAATTTGCTCCTCTCATTTTCCTTTCTTTTTTCTTTTCACTTACCTATATATAGTAATGGACAGCATTGCAATTATGAAAATTTTCGAATCTAAGTTTTCAACAGAAATACACGTTTTGAGGTTTCTTGAGTCCAAATAACCAAATCCCGCAAAATGGTCTGTGTGTATGTGACGATTCTAGCTCAAAAACGAAAAGTTGTATGAAAGTGAAGTTGCACGTTTGAGGAGTGTATATCCTTCAGATGTTACAGGAACTTTTTCGTCGAAATTGGCTAACCAGGAGTGGCACTTTATATCATTGATGAAACACATTTTTACGAATTACTCAAAAACGGTTCCAATGATTTTGATCAAACTCAGTATCTGTGTAAATTAAGCAGTTTTTAATATTATGTAGGTTTTATTCTCATTGATGTTCTCTAACAGGGCTTTAATGCCTAATTTTCAGTATTAGCTTCCTCTAAAGTACCTTTAATTTTTCTTATTTGAGACAATTAACCATTTCACATTGATCCCTAATATAAAAAATAGTCGTAAAAGAGAATAGTTGTAATGAAGGAACCAAGGGGATACGAGAGCGTGCCCAAAGATTAAAACAGGCTTCCATAGTAACATGAGCTTAATATAATACGGACTCCGACAATATTATGTACATTTACATATGCGGTTTTCGTTGGTATTATTTATTATTTAATTATATAGATTATAGCAATATAAATATTAAAATTTGTATATATCAGGATACTTAAACAAATAATCTATAATGAAATATGAATCAATATAGCGCTTATAATTTTTACTTTCACTTTCCCTTTGTCTGAAAATACTTATTTCTGTTAAGAAGATTGGAAAGTGGAAGTTGTGTGATGCGCGCACCACACCAGATTTTTGTTTTTGTTGGACCATGCTATGTATTTAGGCTTTATTTAGTTGCTTGATCAGCTCCATCTCTTTTCCTCTTATTCTATTAATGTTTCATGTAGCAAGTGTGATAAACAATGGACCAATTTTTAGCTGAAAAGTAAGAAATTTGTGTGTTTTTTAAGTGCCATATTTTTGTTGTAATAGGAAGCAATAACTAAAAAAATATTTAATTTAACTTAAAATGCGAATAGATTTTGTCATTTTTAAAACTATTAAAAGAGAGCTTCTGAGCGGCTAAACTAAGCAAAGTTCTGTCTTTTTGTTTTTTAAATTATAAATTATTCACTATTTCTTTTTGTCATCCTTAAACTATAATACAATAACCCACTTTTACAAAAACTTTCCTGTTTGAAAAGTCTTAAGTCCATATTAATTAAGTTGATATTTATTAGGCAAAAACTTGAGATTCATCTCAAGTTGTGTAAAAAACTTATGTGATTTTTATCCTGTCATCGAAAATTACAAGTATTTTCAGCAAAAATGACTACAGTTAACTGTAGCAAAACTTTCATTTCTTGTTTTTCCATGATCTGGAATGTGATGTAATAAAACTAATTGCCTAAATCAGGATGGCTACCAGACAGTTAGTGTCTTCAACAAAAATGAAATAGGAAGCGATAACTAAAAAAATATTTAATTTAACTAATTAATAAGGGCTGTACTTTAATCTAGATAAAATTTACTTTGAATGGAAATAGAGTTTGTCATTGTTAAAACCATTTAAAGAGTACTTTTGAATAGCTAAACCAACTTAAAAGTTCTGTTTAAAAAAATCTTAAATTATTCGCGATTTATTTTATTTTTTTTTTTTTATCCTCTGACTATGCTCCAAATACCTCACTTTTAGAAAAACTTCCTCGTTTTATAAGTTTTAAGTCCATATTAATTGAGTTGAGGTTTATTAGGAAAAAACTTGAAATACACCTCAAGTTGTTATAAAAAATTATGAGATTTTTTTATCCTGTCATTTAAAAGTACCAAGTTTTCAGCAAAAATTGATTATGATAAATTATTGCAAAGCTTTAATTTTATTTTTATTTTTTTTCGATGATCTGGTATGTGTTGCTATAAATATAATTGCCTTAATACACTTTATTTTAAAAAAATTAAAAATGGTGATTTTTCTGACATTTTTTGTGTTAAGTGGTTATAAAACTTTTTCTCCCAGATCTCTGTAATAGGAATTGATCTGTATTTATAAGTGAGGAATAAATGTTTCCACAAAAATTACGTTTGAAATAAAGGAACCTGTTTATTGCTTCCATTATTTTCATGAAAACGTAAACATTATGAGAAACATAAATTTGTCACTTATAAATATCGATCAATTCCTATTACAGAGATCTGGAAGAAAATTAGTTTTATACCAACTTTATTTGAAAAATATTTGGAAAATCATTTTTATATGTAAAAAGTGTATTTACAGGGTGATGACTGACCTGAGAAAATGGAAAAAGTCAGAATATTTTTTGGTACATAAATATTTTTTTCTAATTATAAATAAATATACAGCAGATATTATTTATAATGACCTTGAAGGGGTAAACTTAATGGTTCTAAGCGGTCGCTATATTCATCCTCCTTTGACTGTCAATAACAGCACTGGTCTTTATATTGAAATCAAACAAAGGTAATGAATACAATTTAAGCAAAATGGAATTAAAACAGTGGTGTTTTTTAAGAGAAAAACATACCAATACTATTTATAATATATACATGTGGTCAAGAACTGGCTGGCAAGCACTCATTCTTTCAACCCGTGGTGCTCCTTAAAAGAGCATTTATTAACCAGAAATGTCACAACTGGTATCATATGGATATGGGTAATTATTATTCTGTTTTCATGATGAAGAAACTAAGTGTCTGGTAGCCATCCTGATTTAGGCAATTAGTTTTATTACACCACATTCCAGACCATGGAAAAACAAGAAATAAAAGTTTTGCTACAGTTAACTGTAGTCATTTTTGCTTAAAACACTTGTAATTTTCGATGGCAGGATAAAAATTACATCAGTTTTTTTACACAACTTGAGATGTATCCCTAGTTTTTGCCTAATAAATATCAACTTAATTAATATGGACTTAAGGCTTTTCAAACAGGAAAGTTTTTGTAAAGGTGGGTTATTGTATTATAGTTTACAAAAAGAAATAGCGAATAATTTATGATTTAAAAAAAAAAGTGCTCAAAAGTCCTCTTTTAATGGTTTTAAAAATGACAAAATCTATTTGCATTTTAAGTAAATTCTGTCTAGTTTGCAGTGAAGCAATTGTTAATTACTTTAATTATATATTTCTTTAACAAAAAGCATAACTTAATAAAAAAACACAAAACATGGCCCATTGTTTATATGAACTTTTTTGTAGCTCTTGAGATCCGCTATCACTCCTATAAACATTTCCCTCTACTTACGAGACACCCAGTATAATACCTTTGTGAAAGATTTATTTATTAATCTTTTACTGATGGGGCTGATTTTAGTCTTAAATTTACAAGCAATATTATGTTTTTTAACTAATCTAATTGTAATTTATGGTCGCTTGTAGTGCAAAAGATCTCTCCTGAAGGAAAACCAAAGATCCAACTTCAGGTTGTCCTCCATGACAATACCACGTCAACATTCCAATTTGTGAATCGTGAAGGAACAGCTGCAGCAATAAGGGAAAGAGATAAAGTCAAAGATCTCCTAGTCACACTCTTACCCAAATTCAAAAGGAAAGTGAACAAAGAACTTGAAGAAAAGAACAGGTAACTTTATTTTTGTCTAATTATTGGTAGTTATCTTTATTTTCCTTTTAATAATGGTGAAGAAATGTTTAACTAGACAAAATATGGTTGGGAAGTTGTCTAGGGGTTACTGTATGAGAGAGCACAGCAGTAAATATTAAAAAAAAAAAATCATTTTATAATGGTGTGAAGGTGTTCGACATTTCAGAAGAAGTTAGTAGTATGGTGTGCGGTTGATTTATATATATATATAATTTGATTTATATATATATATATATAATAAAAGCTGGAAGGTGGGTAAATTAACATTGATTCCTAAGGCTAATTCATTTTCACTGAGACCACTAAGTATGCTTCCTGTAATGAGTAGAATTTTTGAAAAAATAATAAAAAATAGATTAATGCATCATCTACTTAGTAACAATATACTCCACCGACACCAATTTGGATTCAGACCCCAATCAGGAACTGACGATGCACTCAGTGAATTGAACGACCATATCACCAGTACACTCCGGCAAAATAGTAATTTATTGGTTGTTTCTTTGGATATCGCGGGTGCCTTTGACAACGCCTGGTGGCCTGCGATTTTAAATAATCTAAAGGAATATAAATGTCCAAAAAACATATACAAAATCATTCAAAATTATTTTTCTGACAGAAAACTTGCAATCTAAACAAACTTTCATTATATTGACAAGAAATTGACGCTAGGAACTCCTCAAGGATCAGCACTATCACCTATACTATGGAACATCTTAATCAATACTGTTTTCGAAATAGACCTACAGGAAAATTCAACATTATTAGCATACGCAGACGATTTATTATTACTTATAAAACGAAGAGATTTCGATGAATTACAGACAATAGCAAACATAACATTATCAAGGCTGAGACGATGGACTAGACGCAACAAACTTAAATTTAATCTAGACAAGACAAAATATATAATCTTCACAAAAAAGAGAATTGTACCAGAATTGGATATTCGACTCAATACAGTAAGAATAACGCAATGTGATACATTATCATATTTGGGGCTTCTCTTTGACAGAAAACTGAATTGGAACAGACATATAGATAATCTATATGACAACACTTTAAGGATTATAAATGGACTATCAGTGGCTGCAAGAGCGACATGGGGACTCAGATCGGAAGTGTTAAAGGAAATTTATGAAGCTGCTGTACTTCCTAAGATGCTCTACGCTGTGCATGTCTGGCATCCGGCCGTTGAACGTAAGAAAAATTTGGTGAAGTTGGAAAGGCTTCAGAGGTTAATTGCGATTAAGATATGTAAGGGCTATCGTACACTATCATTCGAGGCCACAATATTATTGGCAGGGCTGTTGCCAATCCAAATGAAGATTGAAGAACGAACGACCTTATATAACATTAGAAAAGGAAAGAGAGGATACAAAGACCTGACCCTAGACAAAATAGAAAGAATTACTGACTGTAAATCTTGGTTACACCCTGCAACAAGTTTATGGACTGGACCGGGAATTACTTTTGAAAATACTGATGTTTTCACTGATGGTAGTAAGGACGGCGAGAATGTTGGATGTGCATGGTTGTTCAGAGCTCAAGATGGTAGGAATATAGAACATCAATATAAATTAGAATCATATTGCTCAAATAATCAGGCAGAAAAATTCGCTGTTTTAAAGGTTACTGAATACATATATGAATACCCTCTACAAACGAATACTCACGTTACTATAAATACAGACAACAAAGTTCTGCTAGACTCTGTTAATAATTGGGACATTCATGATTACTTGACTGACCAAATTAGAAACAAATTGTTAATGATGAGAACTGTAGGGAAAGTAGTGACTCTAAAATGGGTAAAAGCACATTGTGGGATTGAGGGCAATGAACGAGCCGATTGCCTTGCAAAAGAAGCAGCTAAAAGCGATTTGCCGCCATCGTATCATCAAGCTCCTTTATCGTATATTAATATGAATTTAAAGTTGGATTTCATCAAAAGATGGGATCACATATGGGTGACCTCAGCTAAGTCACCAAACTTACACAGATTTATACCACACATTTCAATTCACAATTACAGACACATTCACAGTAATGACTACAAACTTACGCAAGTACTTACGGAACATGGGAATACAAAACAATATCTTAAAAGATTCAACATTATACAAACAGACTTATGTGATGAAGACGGACAGGTTCAAAATTTTAAACATATAATATATGAATGTAAACGATTTGACAGACAGCGATTTGAGTTAATAAAAAGCATAATTATCAAAAGAGGAAATTGGCCTGAGACGGAACAAAAGTTATTTACTGAATTCAAGACAGACTTTCTTAGATTTATTAGATCGATCGACTTCGACTTACTAACCAGGGATGGGCAGCGTGGGTGATTTCTTTTTTCCTTTTTTTTTTTGGTACGTGGTATATATATATATATATATATTAATTACATAACAATTAAATTATCCTACTAACTATGTTGTAGGTGTTCTTTCTTCAGGGATAAAAAGATACAAATAATATAAAACGTTGGATAATTAAATAAAAAAAATAGTATTGTTTGCATCTTTTAAGCCATAAAGAAAACCTACAACTATTATATCATCTGTTAATAAATAAATTTTAGAAAGTAAATAAAAATTAAAATATATGAGTATTGTATATAATGGTAAGTTATGAAAATATAAGTAAGCTGTAATTGAAAAGTAATAAAGTGAAAGATAAAAAATTAAATTAATGAAATAAATTCTGTTATCTTGTCTTTCCTCAGCCATGGTGAAGGAAGAGTTTAATATTATTTTCCTCCCATGAGCTGTTGAGAGAGTATGTTCAGTAATTGCAAAGGAATAAGAGGCAGAGAAGATTCAGCTTTCAGTAAACTTTTTAAAATTATTACACTACAATTAAGTTTCCAGTATTTAAAATCAATATTATTCTCTTCATCTAAATTATTGAGACTAATTAGATCTTAAATATAATATAAATAAAGACTACAGAAATTAGGGAATCTTGTCCATGCTGAGGGAATGTTCTTACATATCTACTGAAACACCTTGATAGATCATTAGGAAAACTGATATTCACGAATATTTAAATGTGGTATAGTATAGTCAGGTGCTTACCACACCCTGAACCAAACTCAAGACTTCTTTGGATGTTGACATACATGGAAGGAAATCTATTTGCCTAGAGCTGTAATGTGTTGTGAAAGACACCCGATTCTTACACCAAGTTTAAAATTATGTAGGTATCAATTTTCCTCACAATCTACCAAGGTGTTTGAGTAGAAATGGAAGTACATTCCCTTAGGATGGATAGGATTTTCCGTTCCTGTAGTTTGTTTTTTTAATTCAAATATTTTTTTTTATTTTGACCTTTTTAGTTTTTTAAGTATTGACAATTTAAACAAGTCGATGTTTTGAGTCCAAATTATTTCAAAACACTCATGAGATCTCAATGGAAAAAATACCATTAAACTTAAAAATATACCTAGCTGTTCATTAAAAAAATTATTACATACCTTTTTGCAAATTGATTAAACACTCATGAGATTGCACCTCTAATAGAGATTACATATTTTTTTAGCTAATTAGTTATTAGTGGGTAGATATTCTTTACAATCCCAGTGAAGTCAGGGACCTAACAACCCTACCCATACGAGTTCTTGATCTCCCTCTCCTTTATTTTGGAGGAATCATGACCTAAAAAGAATATCTTTCCTACCTAATATTTATCCTTATCATATCCTTGCACCCCACCCTCCTCTTAGGCATTTCAGGGGACCGGTTGCCCTGAGGTAACCGGACCGCTAGCACTGGGCTAATCATCTGTCTGGCATACAAAATTTCAAATAACAAATAATTCAAAATGACGCTGAAAGGCACAAGAGCAGAGGAAAAAAAGAAGATTGCTTTAACACATTTTATTCAATCATGGGTCAGTGTTTTTAGCCCCAATAGTTTAAAACACTCACAGGATCTCATCAAATAATTTAAGATATCTAACTTAAAACTGGTCTATACATTGCTCAAAAAATCGTTTTTTTAAACCTTTTTGAGGACAACACATAATCCATTAAGTAGTGTTCACCATAGTCGGGTAATGAATAGATCAAATATGTGTGACTAATTTATGTTTCTTGTCATGTGGTTGATACAAAAGTATGAGTTGAACGTAAAACAGCAATATAGTTGTATTGCTGTTTTTCACAATATTTATTTATACCTACAATTTTTAAAACTTGATAATAATGGTATTTTTACTCATCAAAAGTTGATATTTTTTAAATTTAAAAACATTAGTCGTGTATTAACAATTAGTTCTATTTCCTTGATTTCGTGTTTATTCGATTCATTGTCTGAAAATATATACAAACTAATAACCCAATTGCCTAGGTACATAACATGAAATTTCTATAACCACTCCTACTTCAACCCTAAAAGAGTGAAACATACAGCTTGGAATCATATAATACAACTTCTTATTAATAAAAATAAAGGAAAAAACTTTGGCTTAAAATTGTTCCAAAAAAATGATAAAATTATTGGACTATCTATTTTTATTTAGTAAATCTATCTCTATTATTTTTTTATTTATTTTTTTTTAAGGCTTTTGTCTGAGAATCCTGGTCTTCTTCAGCTTTATAAAGATCTAGTTATGACTGAAGTTGTTACATCTGAAGAGTTTTGGTCTAACCACGCAAAGCCATTCATGAATAAAATTGATTCATCAAAGCAGCAAGTTGGAGTTACAGGGGCTTTTCTTGTAAGTGAATTCTGTACTTATGATGTTTAAAGTTTAAACACTTGTTATTATGTTTATCTTTTATCTTTATAAATTGTTATCAGTTTATAATTTTTTTTTTCTAATATGTAGTCAGATTCCCAAATGAGATTCTGAGAAATCTTAATTGCAATTCAGATTTTTTTTTTTTACTAATAAAATTGTTTGTTGTAGGCTCAGTATACATTTTTCTTTTTCTGTGTTCCTGTTTTCATTTCCTCCATGTTTCACCAGGGATACTATATATTATTGTTTTAAAGGCATTAAAAAAAAATTTGTAATAATTTATCCATTGTTCTTTTAGTTATTTTTCTGCTTTTATTCTATTTTTCTTTGATAATGATGCATGTGGTTTTTCTTTTAGTTAAAAATAATTTGTCTTCTAATATACTTTTTTTTTAACATATGAGTTTCTATCGTAATTGAGAGTATTCAATGATTTTTTAAACATTTGCCATTTACACACTCAAATCAAACTTCTTATTATATTATCCAATATAAAGATTACCTTAGTTATTACTTCAAAACTTAAATAATTATTTATTCTTATTGCATTTAATAATTAGTTATAAATCACTTATTGCTATAATTTTAATTATAGACTAACTGTTTCAGGCTGATATTAAACCTCAAACTGATGGATGCAATGGTCTTAAGTACAATTTAACTCCTGATATAATGGAGTCAGTATTTCGAACATATCCGGCAGTTAGGCAGAAACACAAAGAAACAGTTCCTCATAAATTATCAGAAGCTCAATTTTGGACTAAATTTTTTCAATCCCATTATTTTCATAGAGACAGAATAAATACTGGTTCCAAAGATTTGTTTACAGATTGTGCAAAAATTGATGATCAAGGTATTAATTTTTTCTATTATTAAACATTATTGTTTATGTTTCTGTTATTAAAGTTTTGTATTCATGTGCCCCACAGTTTTATCAAAGGAAACTGAAAGCGTATCTGATCCATTGGTTGATATTTCTAAATTTGAAGATGTGAATCTTGGAGAAGGATATGGGTCTCTTCCAGATAAACCTGGCAGTCAAAATATCGTTCACCAAAATATGATTAAAAGGTACCTGTCTATTACTTTCACTATATCTATATATTTAATATAAAGTAAAGATAAAAAATAAAGTATTGTGAACATGATAAATTTTGAATCTGAGTTTTTAACGAATATACGTCTCCTGAGTCCAATTAACCAACTCCCACAAAGTTCTACTAAACTGAAATCATATATTTAAGGTAGTGATATGCCCGTGATGTGACTGTATCTTTCTCCATACAACCGGGAGTGCCTCTTTCACTTCTGGTGTCTGTAAGGAGACCAGATCTCGCCGCCAAAGATCTGCATGGTCTTATAACGCCGGCTGGAAAAAAAAAAAAAAATATATATATATATATATATATATATATATAAAGCAGTGCTACCCTACTACATACGGTTGTTCAAAACACTGCATACTTATCAATCCTTTATGGACATAGCGCTTAATTATGTTTGAATTATTTCACTTTTATAATATATATGTACATATTATCGAGGTATTGTACAGTTATCAGAAGGCCTCGACAGAGTTCAGTTTAGGATAACATGACTTAGTGGATAAAGGAAGAGGCTTAGACAGGATGACCTCAAGTGTCAGGCGGAGGAGCACCCAAATCACTTGTGATCTGTGGGGTAAGGGATGAATCTTAACATCCAGCAGGAATGGAAACATGAGTAACGAGAGTCCTACCCAAATATACTGCTATTATTTTTTTGATTAATTGGTTTCATATAACTTTAACTTAATTCAATAAAATAAACATGCATTACAAAGTACAAATATAAAAATAAAAACTACTTCTTTTTTCTTGGGAAGTTGTCAATTGCCAAGCAACTAAAAATAAAAACTACATTTTTACGTATAGTATATTTACAAAATATAATTTATGTCCTGGTGAGTGTGTGGTAGTAGCGCAATCTTGTAGTGAGCTCAGGAACTTCGTCAAGGCTGGCATCGCTGCAGAATTCCTCTCCATAGTGTTGACAGAGTCATCTTTAGAAACTTGTTTGTGCGTATCGTTGGGTCCCATTGACTGGCTCTGTATTATTAATTTCAGCTAACGGCCGATTCCTGATTTTTATTTTTATCCGTCTTCCCAGGGTCTGGGAGCTGACCTCTTTTTTTATTTACTCAACTTGTATTCTACCTTAGAGGTTGATATGCCGGGACATTCATCGGTTTAACTAATATATTCTTCCCTTTTCATATCTCTCATCTTATATAATGTTAATACTATGCTACGCTAACATTATCACTGGTGGCGGTTATAAAAAACTAAATCAAATGATTTTTCAGGAATTTGTTGTTTATATTTGTCTCTATTTTATTTTATTGCGTCAGAAGAAGGGAAGGGCAGCTGGTGCCCCAGAGATACGATTGCTATTTCCTACATGAAATAAAACTTTTATTCATAAAACAAAATATGAATCAAATTCGTTTCAAGTAAATACACTGACAGGCAAAAAATTCCACTCACTTGATTTTTTCATGTTTTCATCTAAAAATATTTCTGCTTTGGATTGGTCTATTGTTTTTAATAAATAAATAGGTAATCTTTTTGTTTGTTTTCAATTAGGAATGTTAATATAGAGGACAATAACCCTTAATTCAATGAAATGATTCTAGATTCCAATGTTTACTTTCTATGGAATCAAAATGTTTATTCAGTATCATTAGTTCAGTGCTGTTTCTTGCAGCACATTTCTTATTCTCCGGCTTTTAATTTTTTCAATATTAAGTTTAAAAATACCTCTTAGTGCTGAGGATGTTGCGCGTGGAGTGGCACTTATTGATGATGGACGTTCCATTAGATATGCAGCTAATGCCATCAGAGTTCCATATAAAACTTTACGAGACGCCATCAGGCGTTTTCGGTAAACTGGTTCTTACAATAGAAGGCCCGGTTCTGGGCGGCCTAGGGTAATAGAACCACGGGATGACCAGTTTTTGACTTTGAGAATTTTACGAAACCGGCACCTTACCATTGTTCCAAGAGATTCATCAGCTTGAAGAAGTTCGAGGTGTGCAAATTTCTGAACGTACCGCTCAGAGAAGATTAAATGAGTATGGATTAATGGCCTTTCGTCCAGGAAGAGGACCAGAGTTGACCAGAACTCACAGAGTAACATGGCCGGCTTTTGCTCGAAAACACAGCCATTTGACTATGGACGAATGGAGTGCTGTACATTTTACAGATGAATCAAGATTCGATCTCCAGACGGGCGTGAAAGGGTGTGGAGAAGAAGAAACCAAAGATATGCAGCCTGTAACTTTTCCCAGAGCCAACCTTTCCAACGTGATTCCTTAATGGGTAACAAGTGGGTGAAATTTTTTGTCTGTCATTTTATTTGAGTTTCTAATTTTCATTTTTTACTTGTACTTTGAAGTTAATAAAAATCTGAAAATCTTGAAAGATTATACAATTTATGAGAATTGTAACAAGTGCACAAATTTTTGTTGTTGTAAAATTAAATTTTAACGACTAATACCAATGTAAAACTATGCATTTGTCTTAGGTCTTCAATAAATTTTTAAACATGCTTCATTTATTACTGCAAAACCAAAATTTACTAAATACAGTATCTCGACAATCGACTCACACGAATTCCTATACAAGACCAGCCCACACAAAACCAACAAAGAACTGAAAGATAAATATTACAACAGTTACTAGACAAATGAAATTAAATTAAATAATGCAAATTGAAAACTATTTGGTTTTATCTGCTCGCGACTGGATAAGCATTTTAATTTTACTTATTTTTAATAGAATAATAATCATTTAATGGCCAGGTAAATGGAGCTTCTGTCTCATTAGGGATAAATAATTCCGTTGAGATAACTGTTACCTTCAACCAACCATTGCCACAGATAATTGTTTAGTCTTCGTTAGATATAATCAGGTCATTTTCAAATTTAATCACTGGTAAAATATCTAGGACACTCTCAAACTGATTAACTGCCTTACTCTGGGGTTTGTTTCGCAGTTGGTCAAATTGCCAGACTCTTAAAATTTGTCACCATGTCTTCATCGCCACTGTACTTTTTTTTTGTGGTTAAAAAATTATCTTATTATTCTAGGGTTTATATAATATTGTCATCTAATAATAAGTAATTTCCATGACAAAGCCGTTTCAGTCTTTACTCATTCAGAGTTTGCAATGGTATTTATAATACATTTTTCTATATCTGAAATTTTATGATGATGTTGAATTTACATGCTAAGTTTAAATTCATACTTTTTAATTATTTACTTTAACTCTCATCCATTGTACTTATATTTTCCTTTATGACTGCCACCCCATCCCTGGCCATCTTCTTACTAGATACATTTATCACGTTTTTTTTTCACTTCACTCGCCTGATTGAGGTCATTGCTCTCAAAGCGAACATTTGGATCCAAGACCAGTACTGTATTTCCGGTCCTGGGGAATGCAACGATATCCACATATCTCATAGAGCCACCACTATTGATGCAATAGACCTCGTTGAAGCATTTTAATTTCCTTTTCCTAAAAAGGGAATTAAAATGCTTGAATTCGATCCTATGGTGCTCCTATTAAAAAAAAAAAAAAATTATATCAGTATTAAACTACTTTAATAAAACTATTTCTTTTTTTGTTTTCTCGCTATGAAAGGCTTAGGCTTCATTCGTGCTGGAGATAACCAAAAAAAATTGTGGTAATTTAAAACTATTGTGGTAATTTAATATCTATATGCGTTTTACGTTTTAGACCTCAAGGGATAAATTGGGTTCTGTGTCAATCAGTAGTTAAATCCATGTCAAACGCATTTCAGGGATTGTATGGTTTCCTTATATGGATGGTTCCTTATCAATTTCCATCCACTAGTAATGCTTGCAGATACATAAACATATTATGATATGTCTATTAAGAGTAGCTTGTTCGATTATATTCAATATTTAAAAAAAAAAAAAACTTCGATTTTGATCAAAATTGGAGGGAATTTGGAGAATAGTACAAAGTGGTCTAGTATGCATTTTCAATTAAAATTAATGTAATTTTTGGAATGTAATGACTGTGATATGTAGGCAGGAAACATATGATTATATAAGTTTTTTAAATAAAATTATAATATTAGTGAAGTGTGTGTTTGTATTTTCTTATGTATCCAATAAAAATAGTGTGATTCACCTATGTACCCTCTTATAATTTACCTGTTTTTTTTAATGATTCTGAAGAAAATTTTCAATAGGATTTAACTAGTTTTTTTTTTTTTTTTTTTATTATTCAGGTTTAACCAGCATTCTATTATGGTATTGAAGGCATGCCAAAGCCAACAAGAGGCTCTCAGTGGAAATGATTCCATAGTTACAAGTAATGGAGCTTTATTGAACGGCAATTCTCCTCAAAAACCAGAAGAAAAATCCAATGAGCCTGCTCTAAAAAAAGTATGTTCATAAAAATTTGTAATCAGTGTAGTGTTTTATAATTCTTTCTTAGAAAAATAACTTTAAACTCATGTTGCATTATAGGCTAGAATACAAGAGAAAATAATTTATGATGATTTGGATGAAAAAAGTGAATTGTTGAAGCATCACAGCCCTGTCAAACTTAACCTATCAAGAGTGAGTAGTAAATTCTTAATAATTATTAGAAAATAAGTTTTAGAGGAATTAAAACGTACCTATTATCAGCATCAAAAGTATGCCTCTTTAAAGTGGTGATAGTTATTGCCCTGGAACCAGGGTCCAAAAATATACTGATCACAGGCAACATTAAAACTGTTGGTGCCTAGTAGTTGAAAAATTTGATGCTCTACAACTTATATTCTATGTGGTTTTCCTCTCATTTTCAATCTACGGCGCGGTTTAATAGTAATTTCTCTAAATTTTTGACAAATTTGGTAAAATCAGCGTTCGTTAATTATGGTTTTCTACCATTCCACTTGATTCCACTAATTTGATGCACAATTTAATGTTCTTTAATTTCTTAAAGAGTATATTTTTCCCTTTGAAGCACCGTTTATAGTTTTAGGTAAAAAAAAAAAATTTGGTTTTCTTAGCTGTAAAACGTTCTCCCTTGGTGGCCCGTGTTAGCAATTTTGTTTTTTACATGTTTGAATCCGTGCATTCCACATTTTTCATTTATTTTCAATTTACTGGCCTAATATTTTTTAAATCAGCTGCCATTTTTGAAGGCAGTGGCTATGGAATGGCAGACAAGGTTCATTTTACTTAAAATAACATACTTTCGTTATTTACATTCTAACCTTCGCATTTTTAGGCCCTGTTTCCTGGGCACTCAAGGTTTCTACTTAATGAGTATAAGAAAGGGATTAGTCAGAGGTAGTCATCTTAACCATCAGAATGTCAGGGAATCATCTGAAAATTTATTTCTCAACAAATGAAAAAAGTAAAATTTAAAAAAATTGAGCTGCTTAACAATTTCTTTCTCTTTTTGCATGAAATCTGCCTCCACATAGTACATTTAGCCTGTGTAAATATAATAATCCTTTACAGAATTTAGTAATTGATTCTCAACTCTTTTTCATTCCTTCTGCCGTTAAATTGGAGTTGGATGAGGACATTTATGTTTTAATATTTGAACCATACTAGAGTTAAGTTTTTCATTATTCAGTCTTTGTGATACTTAATCTTTTAATAAATATTTTTGATAATTGTGACAAAAACTTTATATTTCATATTATATTTGGACCATACTCAAGTTTTGTTTGAATTATAATTTTGATAATTGTAACAAAAAATTTAAATTTCATATCGTGTTTAGACCATGATAAAGTTTAGTTTAAATTATAATTTTGTTAGTTGTGAATAAAATTGTTCATTTCATAATATGTTTGAACCATATTCAAGTTTAGTTTAAATTATAATTTTGATTATGGTGGCGAGGCAAAAGACTTTATCATTTTGCTTTTTGGCAAAGGACAAAAAATTGATTTAAGGCAGGGAATGATCAAGAGCTTTAATGAATAATATACAAACTTAAATAATGAATTAAAAGATAAAAAATCTAACTTTAACCATAATAAGCATAGGAAATTATAATTTTAAAAAGTTAAGCTGCTTTTAAAATTAAGTAAACAAACTTAAAATATTAAGAACTAATATAAAATCTTTTAATAGACCTTACTATATCATTTTGCATTGATAACAGCCAGTGAGCCTTCTAGTAGGATGAAACATACATTTATAAAAATTACTTTACTTGTTTGAAGTTAATGTTAACACATGTGCCTACCAATGACTCGTTAGTGGAAGAGATGCTTTTAATGTCTTTTTCACCTCCAAGCATTGGAATAAGAAAATACAATGGCTAAGGACTATTTTCACTTATAATTGGTGTTTAATGATTTCTAGTCTTTGTTACATATTATTGGTTAATGATGATGCGGTAAAAATAATAACTTAACATTATCAATCACTGGAAATGCGATAATCTAAAATTTATAAAACGCCATTGAACATCTTATTTTATTATCAGTTTTGACTTCTATTATCTAACCAATGACTCGTTAGTGGAAGAGATGCTTTTAATGTCTTTTTCACCTCCAAGCATTGGAATAAGAAAATACAATGGCTAAGGACTATTTTCACTTATAATTGGTGTTTAATGATTTCTAGCCTTTGTTACATATATTTGGTTAATGATGATGCGGTAAAAATAATAACTTAACATTATCAATCACTGGAAATACGATAATCTAAAATTTATGAAACGCCATTGAACATCTTATTTTATTATCAGTTTTGACTTCTATTATCTAACCAATGACTCGTTAGTGGAAGAGATGCTTTTAATGTCTTTTTCACCTCCAAGCATTGGAATAAGAAAATACAATGGCTAAGGACTATTTTCACTTATAATTGGTGTTTAATGATTTCTAGCCTTTGTTACATATATTTGGTTAATGATGATGCGGTAAAAATAATAACTTAACATTATCAATCACTGGAAATACGATAATCTAAAATTTATGAAACGCCATTGAACATCTTATTTTATTATCAGTTTTGACTTCTATTATCTAACCAATGACTCGTTAGTGGAAGAGGTGCTTTTAATGTCTTTTTCACCTCCAAGCATTGGAATAAGAAAATACAATGGCTAAGGACTATTTTCACTTATAATTGGTGTTTAATGATTTCTAGCCTTTGTTACATATATTTGGTTAATGATGATGTGGTAAAAATAATAACTTAACATTATCAATCACTGGAAATACGATAATCTAAAATTTATGAAACGCCATTGAACATCTTATTTTATTATCAGTTTTGACTTCTATTATCTAACCAATGACTCGTTAGTGGAAGAGATGCTTTTAATGTCTTTTTCACCTCCAAGCATTGGAATAAGAAAATACAATGGCTAAGGACTATTTTCACTTATAATTGGTGTTTAATGATTTCTAGCCTTTGTTACATATATTTGGTTAATGATGATGCGGTAAAAATAATAACTTAACATTATCAATCACTGGAAATACGATAATCTAAAATTTATGAAACGCCATTGAACATCTTATTTTATTATCAGTTTTGACTTCTATTATCTAACCAATGACTCGTTAGTGGAAGAGATGCTTTTAATGTCTTTTTCACCTCCAAGCATTGGAATAAGAAAATACAATGGCTAAGGACTATTTTCACTTATAATTGGTGTTTAATGATTTCTAGCCTTTGTTACATATATTTGGTTAATGATGATGCGGTAAAAATAATAACTTAACATTATCAATCACTGGAAATACGATAATCTAAAATTTATGAAACGCCATTGAACATCTTATTTTATTATCAGTTTTGACTTCTATTATCTAACCAATGACTCGTTAGTGGAAGAGGTGCTTTTAATGTCTTTTTCACCTCCAAGCATTGGAATAAGAAAATACAATGGCTAAGGACTATTTTCACTTATAATTGGTGTTTAATGATTTCTAGCCTTTGTTACATATATTTGGTTAATGATGATGCTGGTAAAAATAATAACTTAACATTATCAATCACTGGAAATAGCGATAATCTAAAATTTATAAAACGCCATTGAACATCTTATTTTATTATCAGTTTTGACTTCTATTATCTGACCAATGACTCGTTAGTGAAAGAGATGCTTTTAATGTCTTTTTCACCTCCAAGCATTGGAATAAGAAAATACAATGGCTAAGGACTATTTTCACTTATAATTGGTGTTTAATGATTTCTAGCCTTTGTTACATACATGGCTAATAGCCCTGGCTAATGGCCCAAAAATCGACCTGATCGCAGGCGAAGGTTTGAATGTAAATTACGAAACTGTATGTTAATCTGAGTAAAAAAAAACCTTGTCTGCTGTTCTGGAGCCGCTGCTTTAAAAAATGGCAGCTGATTTAAAGAATATTAGGCCAATAATTTGCGGATCGAAACGGGAAATCCATTGGGAAAAATGTGATAAAAGTTTTTATTTTTTTAACTTGTATATATGGGTTTAGACATGTAAAAAATAAAATTGCTAACGCAGGCCACCAAAGGAAAACTTTTTACAGCCAAAAAAAGTCAGATTTTTTCGATATTTTTTTGGTTTTTCATGTATGGTTCCTAAACAATACATCAAAGCGAAAAATGTGTTCTTTAATGAATTAATGAACGTTAAATTTTGCGTCAAACGAATACATAAACTTTAAAATTTGGTTTCGTGGTAAGGCATAAAACCACGGTCAACCAACGTTGAGTTTTACCAAATTTGTCTAAAGCTGAGACAAATTACTGTAAATGGCTCTGTAACTTGGAGATGAGTTCCCTAAGAGGAAAAACCCATAGAATCAAAGTTGTAGAGCATCAAATTTCGCGTATACTGGGTACTGACATTTTTATTGTTGGTCAATTATATATCTCTAATTGGGATTCGTTATTCCTTTATAAAATCGGTATCTTTCGGCACATCGTTTACTAAAATCTTTTGCTGTTGAGAGGTGGAAAAGAGGTTTATACTGCATGTAACAGACTTTAAACAAAACTAGCTCAGTAGAGTAGACATCCATACTGTTGAAATATTAAAAATCACGTTTATCTTCATTACCAATATCTAGCCATTGGGAGATAACCGATTTTGTTCGCAGAAAGTGCCCTACATTAAATTAGTTGATACTGAGTATATGCGAAATATGATGCTCTACAACTTCGATTCTATGGGTTTTTCCTCTTAGGGAACTTATTTCAAAGTTACAGGGCCAATTATAGTAATTTTTCCCAGTTTTTGGCAAATTTGGTAAAACTCAACGTTGGTTGACCGTGGTTTTATACCTTACCACGAAATCAAATTTTAAAGTTTATGTACTCGTTTGACGCAAAATTTAACGTTCTTTAATTTATCAAAGCACACATTTTTCGCTTTGATGCATTCTTTAGGAATTATAGATTAAAAACCAAAAAATATCGAAAAAATCTGACTTTTTTTGGCTGTAAAAAGTTTTCCTTTGGTGGCCTGTGTTAGCAATTTTGTTTTTTACATGTCTAAACCCATATATACAAGTTAAAAAAATAGAAACTTTTCTCACATTTCTCGCAATGGATTTTTCCCATTTCGATCCTCAAATTATTGGCCTAATATTCTTTAAATCAGCCGCAATTTTTGAAAACAGCGGCTCCGGAACGGCAGACAAGGTTTTTTTTACTGAAAAGTCTGGTTGAAACGTCGGCTTTCAATAAAATACTTTTACCACTATTTAGCCTATTTATGACCGCAACCCCGGACCATCTCCTTCCTTTATAATGCAACGGACAACTACTAAATATTCAATAATCTTAAATGTATGAAACGCCATTCAACATTTTATTTCATTATTAGTTTTGACTTTTATTATCTAACCAATGACTCGTTAGTGGAAGAGATCCTGTTGATGTCTTTTTCACCTCCAAGCCTTGGAATAGGAAAATACAATGGCTAAGGACTATTTTCACTATAGAATTTCCCATCTTTAGAATTGATAAACTCCAAAAATGCATTTTCTAATTCTCTTTGTTCATTAAATTGTTTGTCACATAAGTAGTGGTCCACATGTCTAAAAAGAAATGATAATCCGTAGGCGAGAGGTCTGGATAGTAGGTTAGATGTGGCAGAGTTTCATATCCAAGCTCCAACAGTTTTTGTAACATCACACATGAGACATGTGGCCGGGAGTTGTCATACAACAAAATGCACCCCTTCCAATTGACTAAAGTTGGCTTCATTATTGCCAATTTCTGATGCATTGCATTAATTTTTTTACAACATGATTCAGCATTGATGGCTTCTCCAGGAATTAAGAAGCTTAGTGTATCAAACTAAATGAAGCCCACCAAACAGTAACTATCACATTTTTTATGAGTTGGGCTTTAGAAAATTTTCTGCTGCTTCTCCTTTTTCTCTTGTCCAAAGCGGTCTCCTGTTTTCATAAAGTATCCACTTTTCAACACAAGTAACAATTCTGATCAGAAAAAGGTCAGTTTTTGGTTTCGGCATAAAAGTGTAGTGCAAACTTCATAACGCTGTTTTTTTTTTTTTGCGGTTGTTTAATGTGTGTGGAACCCAACTTTCAAGCTTTTTTACCCTTCCAATTGCTTTGAGGTGGCCATCAATGGTCGATTTCCTATGGCTAAGTTTCTCTGCAAGTTCTCTGATAGTTGTTCTGTGGTTTTCTTAATCCAAATCAAGTAGAACATCCTCACCAAAAGGTCATGTTATCCTCACCAAGGAGGAAGTCCTTCCGTGACCTTCTTTGTCTTCAAGACTGAAACCTCTCCCCCGAAATTTTTGAAACCGCCGTTGAACGGTGCACTCATTATTGCTGCTTTTGCCCCAGACTTGATTGATGTTTCTGGCCGTCTGGGTCCTATTCCAGCGGAGTTTAAAATCGTAAAACAGAATTATACAAAAATCACCCATTGAAATTTTAGTAAAAACTCAATTATTTCAAAGGGGTGAAATGCTACAGAGGTAAACAAACATTATCGGCTGGAAGAGGGGTTAATAAGTGTTGACATTCATAGTAATGAATTATCCAGTAAATGTCAACTTTTTGTTATATAGAGAGGTATTTTAAAGAAAATTCAAAATCCTGCATTATTTTCCAGAAACCCAGTAATACTATATTTATATAGAGATAGTAATGAATCACTTACCAACATATACTTTTAGATTAGGAAACAGTTATTATTCATGTTATTAATTTTTTATAAATTTAAATAATCATTGAATCAATCTGGTTGACAATTTATTAAGTTTCTTTTGTTTTTTCAAGATTTTGGTGAGTTGATTACATTAAGTTAGTTTTCTTATCTTTAGTTATCTTAATTTATGTAAAAATAAATAAATATGTTCATTTACTTATGGTAATTCATTTAAATGGTTAGATGGATAGATACCTTGAAGGCCCCGTGAAGAGTGATTGGACTAACACCTGCGAAAGTGAAGAACCGAGTGGGCCTGACATTGCCCTCGCCGCTTGTAGACTGAAAGAGGAAGCCAAAAGCTGGCCGCTCCACTATCCTAATCCTGGAGTTCTTCCACCAGCTACTGCTGTAGCTGCTCTTGGAGAACTGACCCCTGGTGGCGCTCTTATGGTTCACCAGCACGATGAATCCTTAGCTCGTTAGTATAATTTTATTTATAGTTGATTGATGTACAGTATTCATAAGGATAACACAACGATGTGGATGTCAATATTGAAAAGGCATTTTTTGGTTATTCATGCCCTGTTAATGTTACAATATATGTCACAGTTTTTATTATATAAATATTAGAGGTGCTTTAATTTTTGCTTTTAGTTATGGGTTATTTTTTTAAATATAAAATTTTAATCAATTAAAAGAAGTCAGAATTTTCCTGATAATGTGCAAATAAAATAAACAGTATTTCTTTAGTAGTTTTGTGTTCTTTATACTTATCAAAATAATAGGTTTATTCGGAAAATTTACTTTCCTTCAAATTTTTTTTTTATTATTATTTTAGTGTTATATCATTACCTTGGGCTTCTAAAGATTCCTGGTACAATTTATTTTTTAGTTTGATCAATGACTTTTCTATATTTAAAATTACCTTTGAATACTTTAATTTTATAATTATTTACTTAAACTATCTGTTAGAGTTAATATTTTTTAAACTTTGTAGAGTTGGTGAGTCCTAGTTTGGCCAAGGAAGTGACAGGCTTATATTGCACTTGTTGTGAATTACTTCGCCATTTTTGGGCTTGTTTTCCACCCACATCACCTGAACTTCAGACTAAGGCTGAACAAATGCACAACGCAATTAGGAGGTTTCATCATGCCAGGATAAAACCATTTGAAGTAAGTTTCAGTTATAAAATTATTAATTTTAAAGAAGCTTTACTTGGATAGTTTTTCATTAATTTGGAATTGGTGGGTAATAAAAACCAATGGAAGTAAATTTTTTAACTTAAAGAGCTGTTTAAAATGAAACTAGCACAGATCACAAGAAACGTAATTTCAGTTTGATCTTAAGTACCTTACATTATCTATCATGGAATAAATCAGGTGATTAGAGTATAGTGCCAACCCCAATATCTCCAAAGATATAAGGTAGTGAGTAAGGCATTTATTTCTACTTCCCCCTATTCCTTTCATGGGTTGGAGTTCTGATTAATTCACTACTTTTTTTATTTTTTTAAAGAAAATAATGTTACTAAAGTAATTTCTCATTTTAATGTAATAATCTAACATTTTTATAAAATTATTTATTATTATTAGGGGATTTTCAATCCTAGAGATTGGTTAAATTTGTCAATGTAATTAGGTAATAAAAACTCACAAACACCCATTTTCTTTCCACTGAAATCGTAAGCTAATTTTATCACAAAATCGAGAAAAAAGGTGCCATACAAAAGTATTGGGTGATTTGACGTGACCTCCACTTCCAACATGTCAAAATAACGACGCTATATAGGCCAAACAGTTCCTATCTTTTTTTCGATTTTGTGATTAAATTAGGTAAACAATTTGTAAGTTACGATGAAATAAGCTATTCACGAAGTTTTAGACGGATGTTAATAATTTGATAATAAGGTGTCTGTACCACGGACAATAATGTATGCCTAATCAGAAGTATTATTTTTTAGAATAAAGTGATGTTGGACTTTTCTCCTTTAAGTCAGCAATTGACTTCACATTTGAATCAGTTGCTTAAGACTGCCTATAACAAATATGAAACTTGGCAATCGAGGAGGAAACCACTTGGTATCAGATAACACAAAATGCCTGTCTTTCTCCCTCCAGATCAAGCTATATCCTCTGAGTAAGTTTTATATATCTTGGTTTTAATATTGTTTAATCACTGTTTAGAACTCTTTAAATTCAAGCCACCTTACAGTTATTTGGAGTAATTATTATAACTATTATACACTCACTCATATTTTAATTTCAGGACTGAGGAATATATAGTAGAGTCAAAGTAAGAAGACAGACTGTGTACTATAAAACTGTATTGAAATATTTTTAAAGAAAATGAAGATATTTAAGGGCTAGAAGCCATTAATAAGACTTGTAATTTATTTGTACATAGGACACCTAGCCTCGTTGACACCTAAATGTTTGATGAACGAGAATTATTATCTAGTCTAAATCTTGATTTTATATACCACCTAATTTACTTGTTTCTTTTCCTTTCCCATCTGATATAATTTATTTAGCTATAGATATTTTTATGCCAAATTACTAGGTTTTAAAGGTGATCTATCATAGATATTGTGAATAAAAGTTTCCTCAGCTCTTTTAAAAAGAGCTATTTTTCTATAAATGTTTTGTCATAACTATATTGTTGTTATATTCTTACTGTTTGTGATAGTAGTATGTATATGTGTACATTAAAAAGAGCACATCGGTGCTTTGTTCAATATGATCAATGTTAATTATTAAAAAAATTATTAGATATTGTTCTGTTTTGAATCACTTGACCTTTACTTTTCATACTCAACTCTTTAACAGAATCATGATTCTAAATTGTTTTATAGTTTATTTAACTTTATCATAGTGATATGCATTTCAGTAGTGCAGGAAATAACTGCTTTCCAAAACATTTTTTATAAAATTTGTATTAAAAAAAAATTTGTTTTATGTTCAAACAGTTTTAGTAAATCGATGTTTAGTGAAATAATTTTTAGTCAATACTGGAGAAGTAAGATAAGGTACAACCAAATTTATTTTTCAATTTATTTGTCGCTATTTCTCATCAATATTATTGATATGACATGTCTATTAGATTCATATCGTCAGTTTGGAAGAATATTATGATTTTTCCAAAAGCAAATACAAATCTCTGAAAAAATGTTTGATATTTGTAATAAGATAAAAAATTTAAACAGGAAGACAGTGAACATAAATCTAAAATATTAGTTTCTCAGCCTTTATTGATACATTGATAAATTCTATATTATTATATTTTTTCAATAATTTTATCACAGATTTTCTGGTACATTTAATAATACTATACTTTTTATTATCTTTTAATGAACAAAACCATTACAGTGCCTTTCGTTCCATTAAATCAGCTATGTTTATCAGATAGTCTTCGTAAGATATTTTTTATCATTAGCTCACTTTGTTGGCCAGTTCTTAGTTTGGCATTCCTCATGATATTTTGATCTTCCAAACTGATGACAACATAATGAAGTAAGCTTATTGACTGGAAATTCACTAATCCATAATTTCTCTTATCAACCTTGGGTTTTTATTTTATTTTTTCTGTACTTAAAAAACTTCTTAAAGTTTCTCATTCTTTTTGACATTTTTAGAAAACAACATTTTTATGAATTTTCTGTTTCATTATAGTAGAAATTAAAGCCGCTGGTGTTTATTCTGTATTGGCTAGTTAAGGATGTACAGTTTTTTTTTTCTTATTAAGTTTTAGTTAAATAGATTTGCAGATCAATGTTGAATATTGTGTTACCATTTTAAATCGAGCTTTGAGATGATTGAAACAGTTTCTCCAAGGAAATGAAATATCTTGATTCTTAATGTTTCCATTGTAGTTATATGTTTAAGTGTATGTACTGAAGATCTGTCTATTAGTTTAAATGTAAAAGATAGATTGTATAATAATAAATGTTTGAAACAGGTACCACTAAGGAAATTTTATATTTCACTTTTTTTTTTAAATCTTGTGTTAGCCTGTTTATTTTTGTGCGTATTCATGTTCATTATAATTTTTTTTCTATGTTTTCTTTTTATTGGATCTAAAATAATATTTCATAAAAATGGGTCCAGATTTCATTTATTGCATATGAAATGTATATTTTTCCTAAATAACAGGCAAAAGAAAATTATTAAAATTCTGACTGTATTTTGTTGTTTGTTAAAAAATATATTACAAGCACTGTTTGTTTCATTCTGAATAAATGTTGAATTTCTCTTAATTATTATTTATTTTCCTCTTTGTTTCTTAAATCAATACTTAATTGTGGGTAAATTAACTTTCTCCAGTAAGGACTCAATGAAAAAGAAACTCCACTTTTCTTTATAGATTATGACCTAAAATTTAAATTTTGCAAATTTCATTTAAACTTTCATGTCCAGCGATGCAATGTAGTATAAAAAAATTCCAGCCAATGAACTGTGAAATATAAGGCCTTTTCATTGATGTATTGTATTAAATTTAAAGCAATATCTGTAACTTGAAATGTTTTTGGTAGATTTATAATAAAAGATTCAATTCAGAGTTGAGACTGAATCTGAACAAAGGTTGTGTCCTTGTTTGATAATAATAAAAATTATATAGTTTCTTATATGTTGACGGCTCAATGAATTATCGAAAATACTATCGTTTAGAATAATACAGCATAATAAAATTCATGTAATGGAATCAATTTAACTACAGTGTTATCCACAAATATTTTACAGAACAAAGTATACAATTATTTTTTTTATTATTCATTATAGAAAATAACACCTGACCTTAAAAAATATTTTGAGATAAAATCGCAAGCAAAAGAATTGATTAGATTGTAAACAAATAAAATGGGCTCATACTGGCCTGTTATGTGGTAAATTTATTTAAAACTGAAAAAAAAAAAAGCAATGGAAATTAGGAAAACATTAATTAAACTGAAATATAAAAAAAGAAAAAAAAAATCAAGAAAGTTTATCCTCCGCACAATTACAGACTGGTAAAATGTTTAAAGTTTATAATCGACAGTCACAAAATTGTAAAGATCTATTAAAATATTGTATACACTTCGCCAAATATTAATGAAATTATTAAATTAAAAACCTTAGGAAAAACAAAAATATAAATAATTCAATTCAGTCATCATAATCATTAATAATAACATTTTGTTCTTTTTTACTTTCACTTACCTACATATGTAATATATATATCGTCAAAATTCAAGGAAAATACACATTTTGAGGTCTCCTGAGTTCATATAACCAAGTCCCACAAAATGGTCGGTGTGTATGTTATCAGTCGAGCTCAAAATACATACTTCTTTTTTTTTTTTTTTTTTTTATTTGTTTATATGATATTTACAACTGTATACAAAAAATACATCTGGTAAATTCGCACATGAATATAATGACATGAAACCAGAGATGGGCAAAATCGTAATCAATGATTACATGATTACAACTGAAAATAAAACTTTATGACCACGCCAATTTTATACTTGATACAGTAGCACTATAATTATAGCAAAAGTATGAAATGATTACAATCGTAATCATAAACCTGATTACGATTGTAATCAAAATCAATGTAATCGTAATCATGTAATCGAATTCACTGTATTCATAATCAAGTAATCAAAATCACTGTAATCGTAATCACGTAATCATAATCGCCTAATCGTAATAAAAAAATCAAATACGCACGATTTTCCTCTGTTTAGAAATAGACTAAAAGAAAAACTAGTATAAAACATTTTCTATTTTCTTTTAATTTCCGGGAACACTTTCTATGATAATACCGTCGGTTTACCGATTAACATTTTCCTAATTTTCATTCCCTTTTCATCTTTTATCTCATGAATGAAGGGTCAGGTGTTTACCGTTCCAACACTTTTCGGCTATGTAGAGAAAAGTGGAAATGGAAATAGGGTGTAGAAAATTTTCCGAATTTTCATTCCCTTTTCCTCTTTAAACTCATAAATGGATGCTCGGTTTTTCACGTTCCTACACTTTTCCGGCTACATCGATGTAGGCGAATATGGAGAATTATTGTAGAAATTTTTTCGAATTTTCATTCGCTTTTCCGCTTTTATCTCGTGAATAGAGTCTCGGTTTTTCACCGTTCCAACCATTTTATAGCTGTTTAGAGGAAGGCCAATGGAAACAGGAGTGGTACAAATTTTCATTAACTTTTCCTATTTTTTCTTGGAAATGAAGGATCAGTTTTTCACCGTTCCAACAGTTTTCCGGCTTTTTAGAGGTAAAGGAAAATGGGGAAATTTTGAAGAAAATTTTCCAATTTTCATTCACTTTTCCTAAGATAAAAGATTTAGATAAAAGAGGAAAAGCGAATGGAAATTCGGAAAATTTTCTACACCATTTCTCCGTTTTTTTCTACACCTATATAGTCGGAAATGTGTTGGTGAAAAACCGAGCATCCATTCACGAGATAAAGTGGGAAAAGTGAATGGAAATACGGAAAATTTTTTTCACCATTTCTCCGTTTTTGCCTACGGAAACACATAGCCGGGAAACTGTTGGAACGGTGAAAAACCTGATCCTTCATTTTCGAGATAAAAGAGGAAAAGTAAATGAAAATTCGGCAAATTTGTACCACTCCCGTTTCCATTGGCTTTCCTCTAAACAGTTATAAAATGGTTAGAACGGTGAAAAACTGAGACCCCATTCACGAGATAAAAGAGGAAAAGCAAATAGAAATCCGGAAAATTTTCTGCATTCATTCTCTATTTTCGCCTACATCTACATAGTCGGCAAACTGTTGGAGTGGAGAAAAACCTAGCATGCATAGACGAGATAAAAGAGGAAAAACGAGAGGAAATTAGAAAAATTTCTACACTAATTCTCCATTTTCGTCTACATCAATATAGCCGGAAAAGTGTTGGAACGGTGAAAAACCGAGCATCGATTCACATGATAACAGAAGAAAAGTGAATGGAAATCCGGAAAATATTAAATGTTAACCGACGTTATTAACAAAGAAGGTACTCCCGGCAGCTAAAGAAAATAGAAAATGTTTTATTCTTGTTTTCCTTTAAGCCTATCTCTAAAAACAGGAAAATCGTGTGTATTTGATTTTTTGATTACGATTACGCGATTATGATTACACGATTACGATTACAATGATTATAATTACATAATTACGATTACGCGATTATAATCAAAATCAAAAACCGTGATTACGATTATAATCGTGTAATCAAATAATTGTGATCTTTTTGATTATAATCGTAATCGTAATCGTAATCATAATCGTTGATTATGATTATGCCCATCTATGCATGAAACACATGTTGAGATACTACCCATTGGTAGCACTCTATAAAAGATACATAAAGTCAGATATATACCTGGGATATTTCAGCAATTTTTTCATTAAAATCGGCTAACCGGCCGGAAGTGTCACTTTATATCATTGATTTTACAATTTTCTCAAAAATGGCTCCTAATGACTTTGATTAAACTTGATCTAGCAATGTATAATTAAGTAATCTTTAATATCATTTAGGTCTTATTGATGTCACTTAACTGGGCCTAAATGCCCAATGTTCAAAATTTCTTTCTCTAAAGTACTTTTAATTTGGTTTATTTTAAATAATTGACTATTTATTCATGTTAGGAGTTATGAAAAAAAGCTAAATATAAGCTTTTGAAAGAATTTGATAATTAAATAAAGGAGAAAAAAATAAAAATTCTTATCTCGGTCGAAAATGAATCTCCAGAAATAATAGTCACAAGGTATACCTGTAATATATCGTTGAGAAGCAAAGAATTTTAGAAAAAATAATATCTAATAAATAAAATTATAGAAGGCCACGAAGAGTGATGAAAAGATATAAATAATAATTTCTGAAAACTAACATTATTTAACATAAATCACATTTTTCCAAGGAAATCAAATGAGATTTTCTTACTAAGTGTAAGCCTTTAACAACTTTTGAAGTTTGAAAAAGTATTTAAAATCCAGCGAATCAAGACAATGACATTGTTTAAAATACTATTTCATTGTACTTGTGTGAAAGAAGAAGTGAATTATAAAAATATTTCATGAATATGTTTATAATCTTATATACATTTACTGTAGTTTAATAACTCTAGATCCGATATTATATGTAAATAATTAGGTATCTATCTTCGATTTATTTCGAAAAGTCCATCATGTAATATTTTAGAAAATTAAATTAGTGAATAATTAGAAAAATTTTCCTTTTGTGAAATAACAACATTATCCACTTACAATTAATGTGACAAATATTTAACTATTGATAGTAGGCAATGAAAATTTCGATGCTCCATTTTAGTAAACTTTATGATAGAAAAATAATAGTTTAATAACTAGTAGCAGTACAATCCATAATCATTTATTGATTAAATATACCAATGTACTTTCAAATCTCACTAGCTATATATAGCTCAGCAACTGGAGTTATGTGGTTTTCAAAAACAAATAGAGTTACGATATTTTTATTCCTACCTGTATTATGTACTCTATGTAACAGAGGACATAACAGCTTTTGTTTTTTTTTGTTTTTTTTTTAACTTTCTTTATTGAATATTAATACATTCTGCCACATTGAAGGACATTAATATTAAGGCTATATGATTCATTCACACAATATGTACATACAATTAAAATCAATAATAAAGAAAAAGAAATATAATAAGTAAATTGGTATGCCTGTGTACAAAAAAAGTAATGAAATAATAGATAAAAGCTAGATGAAATTAAAGTAAATAAATCACATTCACACCTATGTACAATATTTGCATTCACCCAGAGGACTCTGAGTCATGCCTTATTCCCCGACGTGGAAGCCAAGGCAGGACTCCAGGAGATCCCAGTGCTTCTCTCTCAGCCGCGTCACTGTTATTTGAAACCAGTGGAAACTGATGGAGGGCACTATAGCAACAGACGCTCATGTCTTGAGTGGAGAATCTGGCCATTGCCAGTACTCCAATATATACATATTTACAAAAGGTCGCGGGGCCATTGCCGTTTTAACCTTCGAGGAGGATTGTAGGGATGGCTGGAGCTAGATAGGGATTGTGCTACAGGATTTGGATGAGTGAGTTTCTGGTGAAATTTGGAAAAATTTTCTGGGATTAGGTCAATAACAAATGGGATATGAAGGTCATTATGGAGGGTTTTGTTGGATACATAGAAGGGAGCATCGACTATTGTTCGGAGGATTTTAGACTGGAAGGATTGAATGCGTTTGATGTTAGAAAGTTTTGCTGTCCCTCACAGTTCTATTCCGTAGGTCCAAATAGGTTTCAGGATTGTCTTGTAGATTAATAGTTTGTTGTCGACTGAAAGTTGAGATTTTCTATTCAATAGTCTATATAGTAGACATAACAGCAATTATTGAATTTTACAATTCACAATTATAAATATAAGATCATCACATAAACCTTCAATTTTATTATTTTTTTATTCTGAAGTCAAATATCTTATTTATATTAATTTTCAATGTATTTTCTGATAAAAATAAAATACAAATTATAAGGGAAATAAACCAAACATAACAATATCCCTGTTCATTTTCGAACAGAAGAAATACAATATTGCATGGATGCTCAACTTGAGAGTTGCTAAACGACACAGCATACTCATCAATCAAAAGATAATAATGCAGACAAAATATATATCAATTTTGGATCCTTGTTCCACTGTTTCCTCACAGTTCTGTTCATTTATGTCTCAAATCATATCAACAACCTCTGGAGCCTTTGCTTTTATGACAGTTAGGTTATTTTTTAGAACATCTATGAGGACAAAATCCCGCCTACTAACATGGGAAGAGCGAAGTCAGTGAGTCATTGATTTCAAACAATTTTTTTTTTTGAGATTCTACATCAAGAAATATTGAACCCATGCCCCAGCATTTGTTCCAATGGGCAGTTTAAGTTTTAAAAAAATGTTACCTTTGATTGTCCAGTTTTCTAGATTACTATATACCAATCAATTCTTTTTTTGTGCAGAGTAAAAAACAAAAAATGCCTTTAGTATTAAATGAGTTATAACATATCATAAATTGCAGAAACCAAAAAATGCTTCTAGTTAAGAAAAATAAGTAATTTTTTGTTATCAAAAAGCAAGTTAGATTTGTTAAGTGTTTAAGAGTTTAAAAAATAAAAAAATTTAGTACTTGATTTTTTGGAGATTTTTTTTTCTGATTATCAACTAAAACATTCATACCTCCACAGGATTTTCACCAAATTCGAGGTTAATACAAACAATGGAAAGCTGAATTACTGCTTTTCCAACCTATATCAATAACTTTTAGATTTCATAGATTTATAAGCTAAAAATAAAATCAACAATATCTTCAGTGCTGGTTATTCACTATTCCGTTTAATTACCTATTTCTTCTGAACTTTTGAATATAATTCACGTTCACCAACTAACAGAAACATCATAATAGTTTATAAGACTTATAAGAAAACAAAAGGGGTGGGTGACATGTGTCAACAAAGCACCTACTTGATGATTAAAAATAAGTTAAACCAATTGTTTGTATACCTGGAAGTTTTCATTGCTGAAAATAAAGGTGGAAAAAATAAAAATAAGTGTTGTAATAATTCTCAGTATTTTGTGACTTAATTTAATGCAACCTTTCTGTGCAATTATTTTCAAAATTAAGAACTCTATTTGTAGTATTCATTACACAATCTGTAAATACATTGTGTGTGTCATTTAATGGTTGGTATTTTTATAAAAAGGGTTGTATTAATATGAATAAAAATAAAAATTATTTTTAATAAATTATATTTATGTTAGTTTAATATAATAAATACATTTCAAGGCACTTTTATTTATTTAATTTTTTTTTTCAAAACCATACAAACTTTTGATTTCAGTTAAATGCCTACTTATTATAATAAATTCTTTAGTTGAATAAATATAAATACGTGTCATAAATATATATCGCATAACCTCAGTTAAAAACCAACCTAAGAAAGAGATAAAAGGCACACTTACAGGCACTTAAATAGATTTTTTAAAGGAACACAAAAATCTATTGAGTCGAAGGCACCCTTGAAATAAGGGAGAGTATTTTCCTATCATTTATTAATATATTAGATTTCACAGCTCTGATAGCTTCTTGCTCTTCTTCTATTAGTCCTTCAAGTTCTGTGAGTTTCTTCTTATGTTTGCTAAGTAATTCTTCTGTCGACCTATATTAAAATAAAAATTTATTTATATATTTTACATTATTCTGATCAAAATTAAAATTTTAAACAACAGTACTAAAAAAATCTGGTGTGGAATATGCACCATCACTTACCATCTACTCAGAGGGCCTAATAACTAAGGGCAAAGGGACGAGGGTCTCCCTCAGAGTGCCTAGTTTGAAATTTTCAGTGACAAGCACTTCTCTCACCAATTTATGATAAAATAGTTCTTATAAAATCCCAAAATGACGATGTGGTCCATTCTATATTATTGGTTAGTCAGGCTTAATAGTTTTACATTTAGTTTAGAAATTTAATTTAATTTACTAGGAAACATTTAGTTACTGTTAAATAATAATTTATAAAATAAAAATAATAATAATTTCCAGAAATTGTCATTCATTAGTTTTTCCTCAATCTGAGTTTATATATAAGATATTATTTTGTTTAAAATCCTTAACTTTCCATCTGTATTAATTTTACATATATATTAATACTTTTATTTCTGAAAATTTGGTATCAACATGGAAAAATGTATCCATTGGTTAATTACTAAATTACTTAATAATTAAACACATAATTATTTTTTAATACTTATAAAAATATTTATTAAAGATTTTCCAACAGTTTTCAATGGTTATTTAAACTGTGAAGTTGACTACCAATATGTTGTAATGGCCTAAATCATTAAAGAGTAAATAATAAATCATTATATAAATGCTAACACTGCCTAACTCAATTTTAACAACAATGGGCTAGATATTTAACTGAATTAATTTCTTCACACCGAATGATAATCATTAATATATTAAATATCTGTTGAAGTGGAATAGGTTTTCAAACTATCGAGAATTTAATTCAATGGAAATGGAATGGATTTTATTCTAAATAAAGGGATAGATTTACATTAATATTTATCTGAACATTATGATAATTTATCATGGTTCTTATTCAAAATTAATCACAACAAGCAGGCCTTCAAAAAATTTAGGTTGAGCTGAAGATTCTAGAAAAAATAAAATTTTGCATATAAAGTCGTAGACGGTAATGGAAGGTGATGAAACAATTGTAATTAATAATTTCTGAAAACCAACATTATTTAATGAAAATCAAATGTCTTCCTGGAAAATAAATGAAATATGAACTTTTAAAATTATTTTTAAGTTTAAAAAAACTCATATAATTCATCAAATTAAAGCAATGGTATTGTTTAAAAACTGCATAATTGTACTTGTGTGAAAAAAGAACTGAAATATAAAATTATTTTACCAAACGGTAAAACATATGAGCCGTTTATTTTGAAAGTGGCCTAACTTCGTTTTTTAATTTTTTGCCGGTTACCATGGTTACATGTACAACTTCATACTATACATCAGTAAAACATTTCAGGTTGCTTATATTCCAAGCAAATACGATAAATTTTTGACACATAAGTTTTCAGAATTAGTTCAATAATTGAACCATGTAGTTTGAAAGTGGCCTAACTCCATTTATTTTATACTTACATCAAGATGTATGTTCTAAATTTGGGTATTCACAATTTTCTTAACGATAATGTTTACATGTACGTTTGGGATGAAACTAATGCATCTAGAGGTGCTCAAGAAGTTGTTTCATGCATCTTAAAACATGTTAAAAATTAAAGAAGTGAAAAACATATAGCTTACCAGTGACATGTGCACCGGGCGAAATAGAAACATTAAAGTAGCTTTAATGTGGTTAAAAATTGTAAAATGTTCAAAAAATAATGTGGAAATCATAGATCACAAATTTATAATATCAGGACACTCGTTTTTACCAAATGATAGAGATTTTTGTGTGGTAGAAATGTCATTAAGAAAGAATAATTTATTATTCATTACCCAAGATTATTAAAAAGTGTCGGAAAGGTAATAATTCTATTGTAAATGAAATGAGACACAAAGATTTTGTATCAACAAAATTATTAGAAGACACAATTTTTAAAAGGGTAAAGAATTCTGATGGAGAATCAGTAAACTGGTTACAAATAATTTGGATGCGTTTTATCAGAAATGAACCGTATAAAATTTTCTATAAGATGACAATGAATGAGAATGAAAATTTTAAAGTCCTGAATTTATTACCATGTCGGGGTAGACCAAGAAAATTCGAAAATATTGTATTGACACCACTCTATAAAAATATCAGACAAATTACAACTATAAAATTTAAGGACATGATTGACCTAATGCGATACATACCACCAGAACATCATGACTACTTCAAATCCCTTTCACACGCGCAAAATGTAGATGAATAGTAAAATGTTTGTAATTTTGTAAGTTCTGTTATTAAAAAATGTTTTAAATCGCATAAATTGTGTTTCCGAAGTGTTTTAAAGATCTTTAATATAAATTGAGTATTGTATTTTTCAATTTGAAGCATCTTAAATTATGTTGAATGTACTTGGGTACCTTCAAATTTTATAATGAATCTGGTTGTTAATTTTGAAAGTGGCCTAACTCCATTCTTGATAAGAAAACACACATTATTCATTTAATAATTGTTACTATTTTAATAAGAACCAAAAATTTAACACCCTTAGATATACTTAAGCAGCATGACTCATTAGTATTCTATACGTATATTTTTAAATTCATTTAAACGCAAACCCTTAAATATCTCAATTCGAAGATAAATGGAGGTAGGCCACTTTCAAAATAAACGGCTCATATGTTTATAATCTTAAATACATTTACAATAGCTTACTCATGATTTTATTGAATGTGAATTAACATCTCTTTTTTAGAACCCCTAAAATCGCTGATAGGACATTTAAAATTTTTTTTTCATACTTTCATTCATTTTCAGAATAAAATTTTCCATGTGTGTTCAGTGACATTTTGGTTTTGAACATTTTAGAACATTCGTGACACTTAAATATTTTATCATTAATATAGAGAACACTTTTTATATGTCTTTTTAAATTGTCCTTACATCCAAAATCTTTATTACATGCATTACAGACGTACTGTAATTGTTTGGCGTGAATATCTATGTGTCTTTTAAGATTGTACTGACTGTTGAATTCTTGGTAGCATACCTCACAATAATAGCTTTTTTGTTTCTCATGAATCAATGAGTGTCTCACCCAATTAATTTTTTTGACAAATGATTTATTGCAACTTCGACAGTAAAATTTTGAGTCTTCCATGGTAATAATAAAAAAATTAAGGCAATATTTGAAAATCAGATCAATTGATAAAAAAAAAATAAAATAAAATAAAATAAATAAACAATGGATAAAAAAAGTATACAATAGTTGAAAATAAAAAAAAATTGATAGAAAAAAGAAAATGGTGTATTAAAAGTAAAATTATATTAAAGAACACGAGGAGAAACGTCAAGCACAAGAACTCACAGAAAATAAGGCCGATTGTTATAGGTTGAAAGGGTCCGAGCATTGACGGTATAAACTGACCAGACCCAATTCTCAAAAATATTTTGCTCCCTAGACTGTAGTGAGCTCGAGAGAGGTCTTGGGGAGTTGGAACTTGAGTGGGGGAAAGCTGCGCGAGCTCCTTTTCCCTACACGCAAACTTATCTTAGATACACTACACTATACTTCTCAGTCATCGCATAGTAATTAGTAGCATATGACTTTATTAATTACCTCTTTTCTGATTTCAATTGTGACGTATATTCGGCACTAGCCTGCTTCCAGTACAACAATTCTCGTGCTGCTAAGTCAACATCTTCCTGAAGAAAATCAAATAACTTGCCTAGAGGACCAGTGGATCTGGTTAATGCTTGAATGCCAGCCTTGAGTTGATCACATTCTTTTTGCCAAGTTGCCCGCTTATCTTTTTGTCCACTCTCCCATTCCTGTGAATTAAAAATTCTAACTCCATTTTCATAACTTCACTAAGAAAATAACTATAAATCAATGGTTATATATTAAATTTATGTTAGTCACTTGTTATTCTCAATGTAGAGAATTTAGATTATAACTGTTACAATTAATATTAATTTAGCATAAAACTATGTCAATTATTAATTTTCTCTACAATATGTTGGATCTTGGCATTCTCCATGAGATTTAGCCATTGTTTTCTACTTTGGGCACCTCAGTTCCAATTACTAAAAAGAAAAAAGTTGTTTGCTCTAATGTAACTTTTTGTTATAGTCCAATGCACCTAAGTTATTTTTTGGATCTCCTTCACTCCATTTGGTTTTTGTACCTCTTTTCTCCATATTATCCTGAAAATATTTTCTGTCCCTTCCAATGTCACTAAATGCCTTTCAATCTCTTTAGTTTAATGATGCTGACAATGACAGCGAATATTTTACGCAGAACCTTTCTCTTGAAGATAAGGAGGTTCTTTCCGTCTTTCTTTCTTAGGGTTCAGGTTTGCGATACATATTTTAAGGCAATATAAAAGTTTTATAAAGTCTTTAGGGAGTGAGGTAGCTCAGTAGTAGGTTACTGAGCTTCCAATACTAAAGGTCCCAGGTTCGAGCCTCGGCTCATGGCAGAAAATTTATTTATCTGTTTCATTGGCCGTGGGGCGACCCTGGGTCGGTAGATCCTCCTAGGGCACACCCAGCATCTATAAAGTGGGTACCCATAATTAAATAATTAATTAAGGGGGAAAACCTGGCGGTTGAGCGTTCTCTCAGTCAAATCACTTCCTTGCACAACCGTTGACTCAGAATAGTACTGTTTTCCCTAAATAGTACTGAACCCAAGACCCTTCATAAGTTATAGTGGTACAGGTTTTTTTTTTTTTTAGTCTTATTTTAAGATGTCTTGAGGTGTCTCCACAAATACTTCAGCAGGCCAAAGGAATATCTATCTGCTGTTGCAACCTTTTACCTGATTTTTTCAGGTGTGTTATTCATGGAATTTACTTAAGTTCAGGATTTCAGTTTCTTTTTGAGTGTCTTTTGCCTAGGTTTTTGAGTATCTTCTTCTGTAAAGATATACTTCATATTCTGTATATTCAATATGTGGCCCATCAGAAAAGTAGATCTTTATAGATTAAGAAAGACAACCTCTAAATCCCAAAGGACTTTGCTATTACATCAAGGTCATCAGCAAACAAAAGCAATTGGACCGATCTTGAAAATACTAAAATGAACAGGCCAAGTTTCCCCTTGTTCCTTATATCGAAGAAAATTTTGATAGGTATCCAACTGGATTCAAATTTCTCACTTTCACAGTCACTTAACCTATGACCTTTAACCTATGATGATCTGATTAAGTTCAAAGAGATTTCAAATTCCTCTACCACCTTATATAATATAGTGTTTAATGTTTGATGCTATCATATTTATAAATGAAGTCAATATATAAATGGCACTTTGTATTCATATCCTTTTTCGAGGATGGTTCTGAGGGTAAAAATCTGCCTCTCCAAATACCTGTTTTGTAGTGTCCTGTTATACATTTACCATATGGTACGAGCCAGTTGAAGAAGAAAGTCTTTATTATATTATTTTCACAACAAGAAAAATACTACTGTGATTAGAATACTTGAGTTAATCACCCTTCTTAGACAAATTACCACATTGCTCCATTGTTATGGTATTCTTTTCTTCAAGGTCATATATTTATATGTGAAGATCTTCACTGAAATATTTTTAAAGAAATTATGTCTATATTCTTTAATTTAAAGAAATGAACTAATAATTATTCTTGAGTGAATCACACAAATAATTTTATTTCAATAAGTCTTAATTTTGATTTTTGTTAAACAACGTTTATGGCCGATAGCAATGAGGCAGTTCTTTTATAGCAACAACTGTTGTTGACTCTTATCTGCTAGATACTATTAAAATACTAGATATTTGAAAAATTAATTCCAAGCTGGTATGTCAGAAAATTTCCTAAAAAATGTTTAGCTAAGTATATGGACATTACTGTTTGAAAAATTTAACTACCATTCTCTGATGTATGGTTGTAATGAGGTAAAGTAATCATAAGAAAATAGTTTCTTATAGTTTGAATGTCAACTTTTCATGCAACGAAAGCAAGGAAAAATAAGAAGTTTTGTAACAATTATAACTTTTACATTGGATAACTTACGATCTCTGTATGAGGTTTTTGCTTTTGCTTTTCAATTCCATTAACTGATTCTAAAATATCAACTAATACACCTTCTGCTCCAGAAGAATTTGCATCTTCAATATTATTTTCCTGACAAAAAAAAAATATATTTGTATGAATAATACAATTTTAAATTTAATGGGTTTAATTAAATAAAACTAAAAAAATAGAAGCCAAATTATTAACCACAATAAATTTTTAAAACATACTAGCTAATTTGGAGATTGAATTATAATCACTAACCTCGTCAAGAACTATATGGTGTGGTTCCATTATTACCATATTTTCCTTATCCTCTTCTAATTTTTCATTTTCTGCAATAACAACGACTTCTTTAGCCTCATTTTCTTTGTCTTTGCTTGTCAAAAATAAAGAAAAAGAACATATAGAATGAGTAGATAACTATAATGTTTTAGTAGTATCTAATTTTTTTTTAAATAAATAAATAAATAAAAACTGTATCACATAAGTCCATGGTAGAAGGAATTTGATAAGGAAATACAGTTTCTTGATCATCGAGGTGGCTCGAGAAGGATCATAATAAACCATAATTTTTCTCCCAATATATTGTTAAGGATCAGATACCCTCTATATAGAGACTGGGTGTCTCCTAGGGAATTATCTGGATCCCAGAATGCTGATAGAAAATAAAATTAATTTTCTGCCATAGGCTAGTCTGAACCTTTATCTAGGGTGCAGTACCTTACCTTATCAACTCGTTTGCCAGAAGAATAGAAAGGGAAGAAACAAAAAATAAGAAGTGCCTTAACCAATAAGCTTCCCGATCCCTTATAATAAATAAAACAATCAAAATTATATTCATAAAGGGTGTTAGTGATATTGAATCATTCTGAACTTCAATTTTTATCACTTTCAAACAAAACTCGTACTTTTCCTGAAACTAAAGGCAGTTTTTGAATTTAAAACTCCTGTATTGGTTCCCTCCATTCTTAACAAATTCAAATGTAAGGTGCAAAATCTATTTTTGAAGATAAGAAGCTTTTTCTCTTCTGAACTAGTAAGGATTCACATCTTTGAAGTATAGGTTAATACCAATCATATCAATGTTTTAAAAAGATGAAAAAGATGAACATGGGCTGATGAGACAGGCCTTACTTCTAAGTTGTTTTCTCAGTCCAAAATAATAGCAACTGGCCTTCTATGTTCACTGGTTGGTCTCAAGAGATATCTTATTAGTACTGCTAGCAATTGAACCCAAATTGATTTTAAGTCCTGTTGGTGAATCCTTTTTCGCTTTCCATTAATCAGGATTCTGTGGTGTATTAGGTCAACAAAAAAAAAAGTTATAGATTCTGAACCCCACCATAACTATTCAATCAACAGTTTTTTCTCCATGTGCAAAGACATCTGTAAATCTAATTCGTATTTTTTAATTGTTATTCATTTGTAAATCTGTATCAAAAAGGCAATACATTTAAAGATTTTATTTTTGAAATCATGTATAGTTCAGTTCTTAAATTGTTTTTAAATATTCAACCAACTGGTTGAAAAATACAAACGCAATCCTTGAAAAAGATGAGATTTTTCATTCGTACACTTGTTATTCATTCATCCAATTTAATTCCAAGTTATTTTAAAATGTTATGGTTGCCTGTACTTTAACTTATGTATATTAACTAAAAAAATTATTTAGCATTAGATATCGCTCATTAAATATCCCACAAAATTTCAAACTTAACATAACAATTAACTTATCATTTCTACCTATTGAGTAAATATTATTTATGTTATTAATTATTTCAGTGAACATTATTTTACATGTTGAGTAGGTTTCCTTTAGGGTTCTTATATGTTGTTAGGTTTTTTTTCTTTTCATCACACATTTTTCAGCATTAGTTGTATGTATTAATTTCCCTATTATTTATACCCTCTAATGTAATGCATTTTAATCTAATTATAAATTGATAAGTTAGGGATTTAAAGCATTTCTTTCTGTAGGATTTCTGAGAAGACATTCGGTATCCAATATGAAGAAGACCTCAAACGAAATTAAGTTGGATAAGAAACTGTGAGACAAGTACTATGAGAAGATCTTAAGGGACCCAGTGAAAAGAAAGTGGGAGGCACAGTAATCATAAAGAAAAGGGACATAAAAGGGGGTTTGTGAAAAATGATTATGAGAAGTCAGATGCAAAGGGGAAAAAAAATAAGAAAGGAGCACTGGTGAACTAATAAATTTGATGAATCCCGAAAAAAAATACATCAATGTCATGGTTACATTCTTTTCGTATTTACTTTTTATTTCATTATTAAAAATATTCATGTATGTCTGACAGCCAAAATTTAATGGGTAAAGTCAAAAGTCAATTTCGGGACTTTATGAGAATTTTATAAGGACTTTTAGTTTTTACAAAAAGTTGTTTGACATTGATATTTTCTGGAATACTGGACAATATTTCTTTAATTTTGAAAACAAAGCAAATAATTAAACAATGATTTATTATGGCCAATTATTATTTATTTGTTAAATTAATTATTGACAATATTGTTTATAGAATACATATTAAAAGAGTTTGGAATCGTTGCACTTATTGTTGAAAAAAAAATTTTAAATTAAAATTTTGAATCTTAAACTGTTAAACCACTCCAGTTGTGGCCTCGCCACGTAACTGGCTGGTTCTCAGCCGGCGGTTCATCCATTGTAATAACACGCAGACGTAGTTTTATTTATTTATTTTTTTTTTTTCCCTTTCTTTTTTTTTATATGCGATATTACCACCAAGTAATGTCAACTAAGAGGTCCCATTCAGTTGGCTCTACCCCACGTAATTCACCGCCTAAACAGAAAACACGTCGTAGTAAGCGATTAACACCCCCCGGAACTCCTCCAGCGAACACTCAAGTATCTGTGTCTCAACCACTGCCAAGTACGTCTTCACAAGAAATGGAATCTCCATTTTTTACACCTAATCCATACCAGGTACTTGAAAATGACAGGGAAGAAATGGAAGATGCACCTATACCTCGAGAACCACGCCCACCTCCTATCTTTGTCAAAAATTTGAGAAATTTCCAGTTGTTGTGTACTCAACTTAATAAAATCTGCCAAGGTAGCTATACATGCCTGAACAGAATAAATGATACAAAAATAATACCGGCCACACCTGAAGCATACCGAAAAATCGTAAAATATTTAACAGACACAAATGCGGACTTTCACACATACCAGTTGAAACAGGAAAGAGCACTACTAGTTGTAATAAGAAATTTACACTCCTCAACCCCAATAGAAGTGATTAAAGAAGAGTTAACGGCGTTAGGGTTCAAAATACGTCAGATAACCAATGTATTAAAAGAAAATAAAGAACAACCAGGTGTAAAGAATAAAATCCCATTGCCCTTATTTTTCGTCGATCTAGAGCCATCGCCTGGGATCGAAAAAATATACGATGTGAATAGAATTTTCTACACCAGCGTAAAGGTCGAAAAACCGTACCCAAAAAGAGAGTTCGTCCAGTGCCATAATTGCCAAGCATATGGCCACACCAAGTCTTATTGCCACCACTTACCACGCTGCGTGAAATGTGGTAAAACACACAAGTCTGGCGAGTGTAATAAACCAATTACAGAACCAGCAGTCTGTGCCCTATGCCTGGAAGGCCATCCAGCCAACTACAAAGGCTGCCAAATTTATAAAAATCTTAAAGCGAGATATATGAAACCCAGGGACCCTGATGATACACCTAAACCAAGAAGAGGACCCGCTAAAATTGTGAACTCTAAGGTTTCTTTTGCCAAGCTACTTGGGGGTAGAGACCCGACTAATGTATGTGAGGCCCTGCCGCAAGAACAAACTCAACCCCAATCTCAATATCCTATCCCACCTAATGTACCTAATCAACAACAACCTCACCAACATCAAATCCAATATGTTCCTCCACCGCCTAATGCTACAGATCTAACCAGCTTATTGACATCCTTTCTTTCAGAATTTAAATCCCTTGTTACCCCACTGATATCACTTCTCACTAACCTAGTATCTCACCTTATCCCTCCTTTAAAAAATCCTTAAATGACTTCCATCAAACCCATATCCATTCTCCTTTGGAATGCGAATGGTGTTAGAAATCACATACACGAACTAACAGCCTTACTACAAGACAAGAACGTAGACGTAGCCCTAATAACGGAAACTCGACTGACTAAAAAACAGCTCCTAAAAATACCACAATACATAACTTACCGTACAGACCATCCTGACGGTAGAGCACATGCCGGTACTGCAGTCATTGTGCACCAATCCCTCTCCCATCACCTACTCCCACTGCCTACACACGATTTCCTACAATCCACCGCAGTCGTAATCAAAACCTTCTCCTTTCCTATTACCGTTGCATCAGCGTATTGCCCTCCAAACCAATCCATCTCCAATATCCAATTTAGTTCCTTCCTCATTTCCTTAGGACATCATTTCATCTTGGATGCAGACTTAAACGCCAAGCATCAACAATGGGGTTCAAGAACCACGAATTCTCGTGGTCGAACATTGCTGTCTGTACTCAATTCCCAAAATTTTACCCTTCTTCCACCCAACTCACCTACCTACTGGCCCACTGATCCTAACCGTAATCCCGATATCCTCGATTTCTTTATCCATAATGGTTTAACCATTCCGTTGCCCGTCTTGATGAGCTTTCCTCAGACCACAGCCCATTAATACTCCAAGTATCACTAGCTCCTATTCCTAAACCCTCTCCTCCGTCCTTCATCAGAGGCCCAGTTAACTGGAAACTCTTTCATCAAATCCTCTCCGATAAAATTGACCTCAGAGTAACCCTGAAAACCTCTGAAGACCTGGACAATGCAGTACATTCCTTCACTACCAAAATTCAAGAAGCAGTCTGGACTGCTTCCTCCCTGATCACTCCTCAAAAATCCTTAAGAAACATAATTTACCTCAACACCTCCTTGACCTAATCCACATAAAACGCCGTACCAGATTATTATGGCAACGTACCAGACATCCAGCCAACCGCCACTCCTACAATTATCACTGTAAAAAATTAAAACAAGAATTAGCCACCTTCAGATCCCAATCATTCAATTCCTACCTCACCACACTCTCTGCTCATGATAATTCCCTTTGGAATATCACCAGAAAAATCCCAAATCCCATCATATTTCCCACCCTCTTCGACGAGATGATGGCTCCTGGGCAGCATCTGATGAAGATAAAGCCGAGGAATTTGCCAAACACCTTTCCTATACTTTCGCTCCTCATCCAGAATCCCATCCCAGCCACACAGTAAAAGTAGAAGAATCCCTCTCAATACCTATCCCACTCTCCTTACCACCTAAAGCTGTTAATCCCTCTGAGGTCAAATACCTTTTACGGAAAATCACACCTCGCAAATCTCCTGGATATGACCTTCTAACCCCACAGATCCTTCGACAACTTCCATCTAAAGCCATCATATTTCTTACATATATATACAATTGCATCCTACGAACTACCCACTTCCCTCTTTTATGGAAACATTCCACCATCGTCCTCTTCTTGAAACCAGGCAAACCTTCCAACAATACAGCATCCTATAGACCAATTAGCCTACTCCCAATCCTCTCAAAAATTTTTGAAAAGATCCTACTGAAACGAATCCTACCTATAATTGAATCCTATAATCTTCCTACTCATCAATTCGGATTTCGTTCCCAACATTCCACTGTCCAGCAAGGACTCCGAGTTGTTGACCATATATCCTCAACCCTAGAAAGCAAGCAGTATTGCTCGGGTGCATTTCTGGACATAGCGCAAGCTTTTGACCGGGTATGGCACGCCGGATTACTCTTCAAGCTTAAAATCCATCTACCACAGTCCTTATACCTAGTACTCCGATCCTATCTTTCCGACCGCTCCTTCCAAGTTCGCTGTGGCACCGAATTCTCCGACTGTTACTCAATTGAGGCTGGCGTTCCTCAAGGCAGCGTCTTGGGCCCCATCCTTTACATTCTCTTTACCGCTGATATTCCTGTCCATCCCGATACCCTCCTGGCAACTTTTGCTGATGACACTGCTATCCTTTCTTCCAACGCAGATCCTGAAACAGCGTCCGCAAACTTACAAAGGCACCTCTTCCTGATTGAACACTGGTGTAAGAAATGGCGCATTAAGGTAAACGAATCTAAATGTAAACACATTACCTTCACCCTTCGGCGTAATACCTGCCCACCAGTTTATTTTAACTCCATCCAGCTTCCTTTCTCAGATACAGTCCGGTATCTTGGCTTTCTCTTAGACAGACGACTAACATGGAATCCACATACTCGACTTAAAAGACAGGAACTTAACAGACGATATGGCCAGCTATATAGACTACTGAATAGAAAATCTAAACTTTCTGGTGAAAACAAATTACTGATCTACAAGACAATACTGAAACCCATCTGGACTTACGGACTAGAACTATGGGGAACAGCCAAATTTTCTAACATCAAACGCATTCAATCCTTTCAGTCTAAAGTCCTCCGTACAATAGTCAATGCTCCCTTCTATGTAACCAATAAAACCCTACACCATGACCTTAATATCCCATTTATTCTTGATCTTATCCCAGCCAAATTTTCCAAATTTCACCAGAACCTTTCTCATCACCCAAATCCCGTTGTACAATCCCTATCAAGCACCACCCATCCCTACAATCCCCTTCGTAGGTTAAAGCGGCAGTGGCCACGAGACCTTTTGTAAATATGGATATTTTGGAGTTCTAGCAATGGCCAGATTCTCCACTCATGTCATGAGTGTCTGTGGCTGAGGGAGAAGCGTAGGGATCTCCTAAGCCTCCCTTTTCCCTCCACATGTGGAGGGGACAGGATTGGTTCGGAGATCACCTGGCAAATTGTAAATAATGTATGTTTTATATAAGGTGTTTGTTTTACTTTTATTTCTATTTTTATTTACTTATGTGTATATATATTTTTTTTTTTCTTTACTCTTTTGTTCTTTCTTCTTATTCTTTTGTTATTACTTTATTTATTTATATTTTTGTATATATGGTATGAATGCAATCTCTGAACTCTATTATAAGTGTCCTTAAACTGTGACAAATTGTAATATTTCTGAATAAAGTGTTTTAATAATAAAAAAAAAAAACTGTTAAAAATCTTAGATGATAAATAATCAAGATGTTAGATCATAATATGTTTATTATTGTTGACGACACTTTTTTTTCAATATACTCAACAATTCACACATACCAAACAAACGTCCATCTATTAATCCTCATATACCCATTCCATTTCACTAATTGTAACTCGACAAACTCTCCTTTCAAAGTAAATATTTGTATCAAACTTCTTGGTGATAGGATATTGTGTAGCTGCTGACTTCTCCAACATTGCCCACAACAACCTCCCTAACACCATATTACCTTTCTTTCCTAATCAAATTTTCTTCATTATTAGTTTAAAATATCTTTATTAGCATATATAAATAAATAAAACAAACTGCATAAAAATATAGGTACGGCATACAAGATGAGTAATTTTGTGTTTCTTTAATATTATTTTTTCCCATTATATCACTGTATTTTAAACTAAAATAAACTCTTAATGCAATGAATCTAATTGAATAAAATAAATATGTAAAATGATTACCAAATTATAATAAACTAAATTTCAATAGATTTTCTTTTTAATCAGATAGTCCTTATCCTGCAAAGATTCAAAGTAAACAAATGAACAAAAAATAAATCTATTTATAGTTCCTAAATGATTGGACCTTTGGGTGAGTTTATTTGAAGGATCCCGTACCGTACAAAGAAATAATAAATAAATAACATTTTTATTTCAAATTAAAAAATTATTGTTTCATTATGTTAATGGTTTATAAGACTCAATTGAATAATTACCCAACTGAATATAAATATAATATAAGGCATTCCTGAAATAAATTAAGTAAATAAAAAATATATATTATTCCATGTTCCATGTTTAGCCTTGCTAGCAAATTGCTATTCTTTAGTGAAAGTATATTAAAATGATTAATTAAATAAATTGACAAAGAGGAGATTCCACTGAAAGGAATTGGTGTAATTTTAAATGGCTGTAATAGAGCAATAGCTTTCAATACTCTCATGAATTATTTAAAAGATAATCTGTTAATTAGTTACATAATACCCCAAAATATACAGCATATAATTTTTGATACTTTCAAGAGGTGACAAAAAAATATGTACAGATAATTAATTAGAATAGGTATTTTAGTTTTGTTCAAATATGTAACCCAAAAAGTGGTATCATTCTTTTTGTATATATTTTTATCTGAGCCTTAATTTCATCAGTAATTAACTAGAATTATGATAAATATTTACTTCAAGTCAACAGCAACTTCTCCACGATCTCTAGTTTTGGGAGCACCAGGTCTTACACTTGGAGGTCTAGCACTAGGTGGGGCTCTTCTTGCAGTCCTTGGTCTTTCACTATAATAAAATAATCCCCCATTAATATTCTAGATGAGTATTGTATACTTTAATTTATAGATAATATTTATGATAGGTGAATATTACACACAATATTCTACAGAACATACAGTACATCATTTATATCAATAGTTATCTTATAATTTAAAAAAAGTTTTTTTTTATCTTACATCTTAGCAGAGAGATGTGATCACTTTCTAGAATATTTAAACCATTTTATATCTCAACGGCAACTTTATAGTAAATCTTATCTCATGATATAATTTAATTTCATTCAAAGTATAAAAAGCAACTAAATTTAAAAGGTGTACGGGCAGAATTTTTGTATATTTTATTTTTTTATTCAATTTATCTTGAAACATTAATCTCAAATTTTGAGGAGGGAGATTAAATTAATTTGTTCTTAGTGCACCATAAATTTTCATTATTGAAAATACACACCAAAGTGGAGGCACATAGAAAAACACACAACAAAGAGATGCATCTTCTAAAGTACTTCAGAAGATATATCGAACAACAATAATATAATAAATCATTACAAAATAAGGATTAAACATTATTAATTATGCTTACAAACATTTTCTGAAGACTGATAAAAATATTTTTAACCTTCTTTCTACTGGTGAGATCAAGGATTTAAAGCTTAAAACCTTCACTTTGCAAAAAATAGAAGGTAAATCTATCCAGAAGTTTTCATGGTTAGTAGTTAACAAACAAAAAATCGACTGTCATTTTATATAATAGTATGACTATCGTTACATAAAAAATAAAAGTTACAAATAATCAAATTTTAGTGAATATGGAAGAAACTCCCTACAATAAATTTGTACAAATCCATTATTTACCCATTTGAATTTATACTTGTGGAACATAGACCCTATGAAAGATCATTTGAAAAATCTATAGTACTTATGCAGTATTTTTCTTTAATAATAGAGTTCACAAATATGCAGGAGTTATTAAAAAAAGAAAGAAAAATATTCCGAAACATATGCGATAAACATATGTCAGGGTAGGATAGCATGCAGCACTATACTTTTAAGAAAGCTGACAGTTTCAAATATCAAGGAGATTTAGTGATGGGCAAAAATTATACCACAGTAGAAACAAAAGCAAGAATCACAGTAGGCAACAGATGTCTTTTTGCATTACGGAAAACATTGCGTTTTCGAAATCTACCATGGAAGACAAAGCTGTTTATCTATAAAACAATCTTGAAACAAATTGTCACTTACACCGGTGAAACGTGGAATGGGAGATCCTCCGGATCTGGGAAAGGAAGGTTCTTCGACAGATCTTTGGACCAGTATGTATAGACGGCCAATGGAAAATATGGAATAATAGAGAACTCTGAGAACTTAATAATATACATAGTCATGTATGTTAAATCAAGCTGGATAAGATGGCTTGGGCACATAGAAAGGATGGGGGAAGATAGATACAAAAAAAAACTATTGTATGGTAAATCAGGAGGCAAAAGAAGGAGGGGAAGGCCCAGGCTGAGGTGGATTGATGAAGTGGAGGATGACTTGCATGGGAATAGAAGAATGGAGAAGCCAATCGAGGGCTGCTGATAATGAGGATTGGAGACGCATTGTTGCAGAGGCCAAGGTCCTACAAGGACTGTAAGGCCATGAAGTAAGTAAGTAAGTATATGGGTCAAACAAAATAGAGGGGATACAGAATGAGAAATAATCGCAAGTAGTACAAAAAGGGGAAGGACATAGAGACATAAATGAGAAAAAGAAGACTAAAATTTTATGGACAAAAATAGACTGAATAAGCAAATTTTTTATGAAGGGCTAGGTCTCAAGAATATAAAGAGGCATCCAGAAAGGTTTAAGTCCAGAATAGTAAAACTGGGGATAACAAGTGAGAATTATTTGGATAAGGTTGAATTCAGGAAACGGATTAACCAAATGAGGGGTGTTTAAGTTGAAAGGCGGTGTAGGCTGAAGAAGTGGTCAGAGGAGTGGATGGCACAACACTCCAAAGGCCACAAATAAGGCAAGTTCATAAACTCAGAGCTGAGTTCAAGGACTTGCCCATATTGTCTGAACCAAATTATTAACAAATTAAAACCTATTGGTTTACATTAGATGGTTTCTGGATTATTAAAACATAAAATGAAAGTATATATTTTCTGAATATTAATTAAAATAAAGAATTTTTCCGATAGGGTTGAAAAACTTTAATATTATCACTTACCATCAAACATGTGGAGTAATTTAAATGTTTTATTTACTTATTTCTTTAATGTTCATAACAAGAAATAATAAATTTTATAATTATAAAAATTAAGGTGGCGAAAGATCTACAAGTTCTGTAATGCCAACAGAAAAAAAAAAATTGTAAAAATGTGATCTCTGTCTACTTAGTTTGTCTTGGACTTTAATTAATTATTAGAATTAAAAATGAAAAAAATAAACTTATGTAAAATATGAATGCCTTACATAGCAGAAGGAGGTCTAATGATATCAGTTTCAGGAGAATTAAAGTCTTTGACATCATTTTTACTTTTTTTTTTATCTGCTACAATAGAAACATTTACACCGTCAATAATTTTGGAATCTTCTTTGTCTTTTCCAGTGTCACCCTTCTCAGAAATAACTTCTGAAAACAAAGCATAATTTTAAATCATTAATTTTTTTTTTTTTAACACTTTAAAAAGTATAGTATTTATTATTTTTTCGAAGGGTGTTAGTCATACATTTTTTTTTTTAATTCCAAGAAATAATTTTACCCTTCAAACTTTGTATTCTTGATTCCAATTTCTACAACAAAACATCATACATCAAGTTTTTTTTTTAACTTTATTATAATTAAATAATTTTTTTAACTTGTAATTTTTTATTCAAAACTGTTATAAATAGTAATGACAATCAATGAATTAGAAGTCTATTACAAAATATAACGGCTTGTGAGGAAGGTGCCTTGCAGCCGTGATATATACATTAATTGTTAAGCGATGAGATCCCTTATCCAGCTCCTCTCCAACCTCATGTTACCTCACATTTGTGTTGTGGATTTGTCATTTATAAGTATGTTAAGATGTTTTTGTAATTTGTCATGAAATCGTTTGTAATAGATTCATATGTGTCCGTTAATACTTAGCATGTGAAGGCACATACCAAGATGCTTTTGTAATTGTCCTGATTGTTTTCTTGCTTGAAAGATTTGAAGTTTGTTAACGTGAGTCTTTTAAGCTGTTCCAAAAATATATTTGTTTAAGTGAAAATATAAGTGTCAGAGTTTGTATTCAATTTTCTAAGTTTTGATTTTGAGTGTTTTCAGAGAAGTCAATGTAGAAGTCTTAGTGTTTGATTTAGGGATTTTCTTTTTTTTTTTTTGTGATACCTATGTCATTTTTGGTCAAATGTTAGATCAACGTAGTGAATGGTGTCTGTGCGATCTGTGTATTGTCAATGAAAACTGGAGGACATGCTTCATGTAAAAGATTGTGATGTGATATAATTTGTAAGATTTTCCCGCTTAAATCAGCCATGTATTTTGTTAAATACTGTTGTAGGGTCTGTGAGGCATATGCTGCATGTTTTGTCTTGCTGAAATTGCTATCGTCTAAATATGTTGTTGTTAAAATGTTGGAACTATAAGGTATTTCATGTGTGTATATAATATAGAGTAATGGAGAGAGTACCGAATCTTGGGGTACTCTTGCTGAGATAGACCTAATAGAAGATAGTTCTGACCCGTGTTGGATGGAGAAAAATCTGATGAAAAGGAAGGATTGTAGAATTAGGTAGTAAGTAGATGGAAGTATTGTCTTGAGTTTAAAGAGCAGACTCCCTGGTGTCAAACCCTTGAACAACAGCCAAAAATACACCAGTTATATAATTTTTGCTCTAATGCCCTATATATGTAATTCATCAATCCATGTAATTGAAGTATAATTAAGTGATGTGTCCTAAATCCAAATTGACAAATAACTAACTAACTTAATAGCAGTTTTTTTAATTTAATTTTTTTTTTTGTTCTCCCCAACCTCGCATTTTAAGCTATAAGGGGTTTTTCCGGGTCAGGGGGTGAGGGCGGGGGATTAATGCCAGAGTTAAAAAACCCACCGGCACCGGGACGTGAACTCATAGTTATTTTATTGTTTATAATTCAGTTATCAGGTTGCTGGGCAACAGCACGGTGCAGTGTACATGCATTAGCCCACTCGGCCACCCCGCCCCTAAACTTAATGGCACTATAGTCAGTCTCTTTCTGCCTGGCATGCCATTCATAATCTTTTTTGGCAGCATCTCATCTGGCATCCTTTGAACATGACCCAACCATCATTGTCTTCTTTCTTTGATGATGGGCACAATATTAGGCTTACCAAAGAGCTATTCGAGCTCCCTGTTTTTTCTTATTTTTCAATGTACATCCTTGTTGGCTTTGATCTCTGCATTTTTATCATTTTCTTCTGTTATTAGAAAAATCTGTATAGAATACACTCTACCGAGTTGTATGTCTGCTTAAAATTTATATAAAGGTGGTGCAGACTAATGTCATGCTTGTAAATCCTTTCCAATAGCTATCTTCAATTGAAAGATTAAATCAGTCGCCGATCTTCCTTGTCTAAAGCCACTCTGATAATCACCAATAACTCTCTCAATCCCTCTCATCAACCACTGGTTAATCGCAATGGAGGAGACCTTGTACACAGAGGAAAGAAGCACTACCCCACGAAAGTTCACGCAGACTGTCCTGTCTTATAAACTTAACAAAGGATAACTTTGCTCCAGTCTCTCGGCATACTTTCTTGAGTCCATATATTCCATATCAATTGATATATCTGGCTTATCACTGCCTTTCCTCCATATTTTAGGAATTCAGCGGGTATCTCGTTAATATCTGGAGCTATTTTCATGTTCAATTTCTTTGTATCAGAGATGTCTCTCTCCTCTCCTGTGCACCCCAACCCATAAAATTTTATTGCTCTCTTCTTAGAAATAGCTAAAGTGAATGTATAATTATAAACATTTTTGTTGAGACATAAACTATACTCATAAAATGAATACTGTGGCAAACGAATCAGCTTCACTTAAATGATACAGAAAATAATTGAGGATTGATGGTTGACTGTAGTCAATAATTGAAGAGAAGATTGGTTGGGATTGGGTGTTCAATAAAAAAAAATGTAAAAATAAATAAATTATATTTATTTTTATTTTTACCAACGTTTCGGCTCAAAGTTAAAGTCATCATCTGACCAGCACTGAACTTTGGCCTGAAATGACGGTAAAAATAAAAATAAATATTATTTATTTATTTTTACATTTTTTTGACGAACACCCCTACCAATCTTCTCTTCAATGACACGGAAAATAATTTAAACAAATAAAAATTAAACCGAAATATATGAAAATCCAATTTAACAAAGCAAACTAGAACATAAATGCTGATAATTATAACTCAATGGTTTGTTATTTCTAAATAATTATTCTAAATATGTGTGGCACTTCACACTACTTTCCCTACACATTGAGGAAAAATGTAATATAAAAAGTGTTTGCTAATATTACCGGCACAAGAAGTTTTTATTTCAGTAATATATAATACTAAATTATTCTTCAAATGCAAAACTTGACTACTCTAGTAAATGTAAAGTTTTTGAGTAATCAAAAACCAAAACAAAGGAAATTGACTTTGCAGAAGAATAAGTACTAAATGTTTGGAACATTATATAGAAATAAGCGCCAAATAATCTGATTTCGATGATTTTTTTCCATTCCACTTTGTAGGAAATTGAGAAAGCTTTTAAATACTCATGGGTAATGAAATGTAAATAAAGATACTCTTGAATTCAATTCAACTTTGTGTCAAAATTTCAAAGCAATCGAAGGACTTTCAGAGATAAGTGGTTTTGAACATACGAAACATTAAAATTTTTATTTCTATAGACGATGGGATGCTAATTTAGTTACCACGGAAATCATTTCACTTTTTATTAGAAATTCTTTTCCCTGGCATTCACTAGATCATTCATGATTCCTCAGAATTTTCTCCTAATACATAATATTTCAAAACATAATAATATATACAGTGTTACACAGCAAAAGGAAACTATGTAGACTGACAATCACTATTATACTTACTCATTGGTTGTTTAACTGATCGTGAAGACGATCTTCTAGTAGAGGGTCTTTTTAATGGTGCTTCACCAGGTGATTGTTTATGATTATCAACTTCATTATTTTGTTTTTGATTTTTCTGTTCTGGTTCTTTATGCCTAAATACTATTTCTTCTTCTTTGTTTTCTGCATTTTCTTCTTCTGCCTTTGATTCCACTGATGGCTTCTTGGGAATCCCTCCAGTTTCAATTAATCCTTCATCATTAATTTTCTCAGGCTCTTTAGCTGTATCATTATTTTCATGATTTTTTTCTGACCTAAAACTAAGACTAGTCATAACTTGAAATAAAATTTCAATAACTAAATTGTAAAGCAATTGAAGTTCAATTATCCTTAAATTTTCCACCTACTCACTTATTGTGTATCTAAAAATATAAAAAGTGAGTTTTTGAAGATTTAATGAATAATAAAAAATAACACAAAAATTTAATTAGGTAATATAGTTCATTTTAACATCTTTTTTTTTTTTTAAATTGAAATTTATACATTATTTTGGTCTTTTTACGTACACATAAAAAAAAAGTCTTCTGCTCTTTTAGTATAAAATTCTATAAAAAATTAAAGTTAACAAAATTTTATTCATTTAAGCCTGTGAAATATTCCACTACAATAGCTATTGAGCTGGTAGAGTGCACTAGCAAAAGGACCAAAATTCCGAAGGCTCTTTTCCTTCAGTTTCCATCGAAATGAGCAATGTTAAGCTACTGTTGACCAAATATTCTATTTAGTTTCATGTAACAAAAAAAAAAAAAAGTAAAAGTAAATTCCTTAGAGTACACTAACAAAAGGGCCCAATTTTTGAAAAGTGATGTAAATACAATAAAATTAAGAAGGTTAAGTTGGGCAGGACACATAGCTCGGATAGAGAGGTCTTAAGTCCTGATAAGAGTGCTTGAGGAACAATTACACTATACGAGGAGAGCTGGCAGACCGAAATTGAGTTTGGCCGATGGTGTGGCAGGTGACGTGAGAGACTTTATGGGAGTCAGGAATTGAAAAGTGGCCGTATAGAATAAAGAAATTTGGTGAAAGCTCATTGAGGAGGCCAGGACCCACTGAAGGTTGTAGAGCCATTAAGAGAGATACATAGATGTAAAGACATAGCCTCATATACAAAGATGTAAACTTCAAGCCCCTTTTCCTCCGATTTCTATTGGAATTACTGATGTTAGGATCCTATTGACCAAATATTCTATTTAATTTTATGTAATACATAAAAAACCAAGAAAAGTAAATTCCTGTGATGTTTGTCTCTACAAGCATCACAATTATGGCGAAATGAAAGTATAGGAGGACCACCAAATTTATCTTCTTTATCTCTCTAATTGCTAATCTCTAAGAACAGTTCCCCATTTAATTTATTAAAAGTGGTAGCACAGGCAAAGGCAGCAAAGTGTTTAAAATGATGTTGGCTGAAAAAAAATTATGGAGAAATGAAACTTGGAGATATAGTACATTTCAAAATCCGAAAAAACATACTATATTTGCCACTCCCTTCTATTTGCTCTATCTTAAAAATTCACACAATCTAGGTTTTCATTTTAGGTTTGTCATTAAATTTTCTGAAACAATTGTAGCAAACAATTTTTTTTTTCAAGAAATAGATATTTTTAAAGTTAAGCATCATCTAATGTGTACTGCATTTATAAAAAATGCATTAATATTCCATTATCATCTGGAATTGAAGTTATTATTGATTAATTTTTACTTTCATACACCAACATATGAGATATATTAGTTTAATTACCAATATTTTTATAATAACATTGGTAATAATAATTATCATTTGTCACTATACATGCTTGAAAAATTAAAATTATACAGTTGTCCTTTACAAATCTGAAATCTCCTTTTATTTGAACTTTTTTTTGTAATACATTGTAGCCTTTCATCATACAAATTTAAATCAGCTAAATTTCAAATATATACTTTACATTATTAATTTTATAGTATCGAATTAAACCATAAGTCTAAAAAAATATATAAGCCTGTAGATGGACTTACAAAATATGATTATATAATCAATAAATAAACGTACAACTAATTTATGTTCTATTTTGATCGCCATTAATAATTCATAATCAACAATATGTTATTAATAACTAATTCAAAATATTTCAAACTAACTTACTATAATCATGACAAAAATTATGAGTTACGTTAAATGCAATTTTTAAAATCTGCTGAATATTGATTGTTATAACATGTTAGTTAATGTGAATCTTACTTTTCAACTTCTAATGTTTGAGGAACGTTATCATCCTCAGATGGAAAACTTTCTCTTCTTTTCACCTCTTTCAATGTTTGTTTTTCTCCACCATCAGTTTTTTCCCTGATGTTAGATTTTTCATGATTTCCACTTTTTTCTCTTTTGTCCAGTGGTTCTTCATTTTGAGATTTATCCCTTTTTCCCAATTTTTCCCCATTTTCTCTTCTCTCAGATTTGTCTTTCTTTTTTTTCTCCTTTTCATCATTGATATTACTCACTTTGGAATCTTCTTTCTTTTTATCCCTCTTTTTTTTATCTTTCACATCACTGGGCTTTTGGTTTACATTTTCTTCTGTTTTTAGTTTTGATTTGTTGTTAGTACCAATTGAACCAGAAACATCTTTTAACAATTTATTTTCACCCTCATTGCTTATTACTGATTTATTACCATTTGTCTGAAAAATATATCAAGACATAAAAATACTTTAATAAATAAAAGTAATTAATAAAATAAAATAAATTATTTAATTAATAACAGCAATAAAACATTTTGTGATAACATTTTTAATAGAAATGTACATTATAAATATAAAATTAAAATAATTTATTTTATACAAACATGAATGTAAAAATAACCTGAGAAGCTATCCCTTTAGCAACAGCTTGTAACAATTCAAGTGTTTTATCAACTTCAAGTCCAGCAACAATTTTTCCTGGTTTAGCTTTGAGATTATTACCAGTAGAATCTTCTAAAAATAAAATAACTAAATTAAAATTATATAATGTGTATTTTAAATCCTAAAATCAAAGCATATGTAATAAGTCGAGTGTGCTAATGGCATATCTCCTCTGGGTTGGGGATGGATTAGAAGTAATCCGTAGTTTTTACTGCTTGTCATAAAAGATGGCAACTGTTCATTAACCTTAACTATCCTTTTGTTTCAGTAAAGAGTAGCCATTTTACATTCCATAGTAAATCGTATATAGTTACTTACCACATTTTGCTCCTGCTGCTTTGTGGGTTAGAATTATGTTTAAAGTCTAAGGAGCCCTCTACAGATAATCCCAGTCCTCCAAGTTCGACGTTGGACTTGGGGCTAATGGCTCTGCTCTGAACAAATACTATGTTATGAATTTAAACAAGGAGCCTTCTTTCAGATCCACAATCGGAGGCCTAAGTAAAAAGGCATTTACTGGTAATGGATTTAGAATGGTTGATTTTTCTAAGGAAAAAGGATTGGTGATTATTAGCACACATTTTCCTTACAAAGAAATCCTTAAGGAAACATATTCCTTGATAAGTATATGAAAAATCAAATTAATCTTATACTCATAGATTCTAAGCATGCTTCAGATGTAAGAGACATAAAAAGCCACAGGGGAACAGATGAAGAATTTGATTATCTAGGAAAAGCTTTCTACAGGCAGAGATTGGGAAAGAAAAATCAAGAAAAGAAAAAAAAAAACATAGAAACATAACTGTCGCCTTCTGAAAGGTCCATAGCTCGAAAAGTACTTAAAAGTCTATACAAGTCTCATAGAGAAGAATAATACATGAAAAAATATTGAGAAACAATGTTCCACCAAAGATTGGTTTGATGGAGAATCTGAAAATGCTATGAAGGAAAGGAATGAAGGATAGAAATGATTAATAGAAACATGAGAAAATTAGAGAAAGGAATAAAATGGAATGGAGAATAGCTATAAATACATGCAGGCAGAAAAAGAAAAATATCGAAAAACACAACTTCTTAACAAACAAAGTTCTTACTAAAAAAGAAAATCTATGGAACTAAATCAACACCCATCATACAATCAATAAAATATTTCTACCATGAATTTTAAAATGTTATACTACACATTTTTATTTTGATACCCTATTTGGTTCAATATTTTTATTTAAATTACAGAATACCACATTCAAAACCTGCTAAATAAATTTTCATAAACTTTACACAGAAAATATCAAAAACATTGGACTGAGCTGAGTTGCTTTTTACCTAGCCCTGTTGATTGAACCCATTTTATATTGGATTGATTAGGTAAATGCATTACAGCTAGGTGGTGTAATGCACTAAGAACATGCAAACAAATGTGAAAAAATTGGATTGAGGGGGATTTGAAAATAATCACTTCAATCAATGCTTACCATAATTTATTTTAGTTTCAGTAGATAACAATAAATTATTTATTATTAATTAATAAATTATTTCCTCATATTAATTAATTAATAAATTATTTATGACCCAGAACCAACATGGATGGAAGGAGTCCAAGAAGAGATGGCCGGCCGAGGTCTACAGGAGGGAGACTGGGAAGATAGTGATGTGTGGAGCTCAGCTCCGACCTGAAGAGGTATCCCACATTGGAACACCGGAAATAAGTAATAAGTATTTATTCATTGGTATATAGGTGAAAAAGCGAATTCTAGAAACAAAATATTTTACAAATGGAATAACGTTTCAACATATAACCTATGAAAGTTCTTAGTTTTAGAATATGGAAAGAACATCCGAAACAACATTATACAAAGTAGTACAGCATCCAAGCTCAATCACCAGATTTCTATCCCCAACCTGATGAAGGAACAGATGGTAATTAGAGGCTAGATGTACCCCAGGAGGTACTCCTGACCAGACAGTTAATCCATCACCGATATAGTATATAATATATTTTAGGAATACAGCAGGACCAAACCTTAGACCAGAAATTAGTATTTCAATGTTTTGTTTGTTGAGCTACCACATTACCCAATATATTATTATTTTCATTTATTTATTTTTTTAATATCTTGTATGTTTTCCTTGGGCATTAATGATGGCCAATAGCCTCCTTGCGATGGGCTAAATTGATTTTAAATTCCCAAGTGAAATAATTTCGCTTTAATTCTTTCTAAAATATTTTATCAAACATTTAAGTTTTATATTGAAGTTTGTCATGCAGAACTATAAATGCTCAACGAAATCAATCATCTGAAGATATAATAATGGGGTCTCAAAAAGATTTTCAACATTTTTTTTTTAATAAGTATTTTACTACAAGTAAAGTAAAATTCTGAAGATTAGACTGAAAGATCATAACTCCCAAGTTGGAAAATGATCTTCCCGTAAAATAAAAGAAAATATAAAACATATTCCTAACAGATGCAAACATTTTTGTGTAAATACTTTTTTTGCTTCCAAATACAATATATAATAACTTGTATATTAAGTTTAATTAATAATAAATAATTATTAGAATAAATAGAAAATAAGATGGATATGAGTGTATAAATTCAGGAACTCTATGATTGATATAGGGACATATAAAGGTTCTTTATACACAATGGTTATTGAAAAACTTAATGTATTTAATCTTAACAAATCAATTCTATTAATTTAAGTGTATAGATTCAAAGAGGTTATTACTAGTAATGACAATATTAGTAGCTTCCATTATCTATTGGCATAAAGGAAAACTAATAGATATATTAATAATCAAATTCATAAAAAAATAATAATTATAATTTGAAAATATTTCATTCCGTTTTATAATCAATAAAATTATAGGATCTGTTGCTATTTTTCACAATACCTACAAATTTTGATTCTCTTTATAAAACAAAATAAAAAAATATATAGAAATACATAGTTATAAACATCTGCATAATTATGTATTAAATAGTGAGGATGCAGAAATTCCATTCAATTAATATTATTAACAAATTAGGTACTACTTACTCACGGCACTGATTAATTTTGTAAGAAATTTTATTTTACTATCCTTGTCTTTAACATTATCAGCAATTAGCTCTTCAGCAGTAAATACGTCCTTCAAATAACCAGTCTCTTTTATGACCTGAAATTAAATGACTTGAGGAATATATTTTACAGAACAGTTCAATAATTTTAGCAATAGATTTGATTACATACAGATGTTACGATGTCATGTAAAAATCGGAAAGGGGGCTTTCTAAGAAGTTTGTCGGTGAGTGGAGGCCTTTTAATGTATTTATTTAATGCTGTTTGAGTTTTTTTTAACACATCAGGTTTAATATCTTCAGCCATCATTGGAGTTCATTTTCCCACTGTTCATTATCATAAAAGGCCACTTGTTCTCATTAGTTTGTATTCCTTTGAACTTCCATAGTAACCGCCTACGTCAGTTGGCACTTGGCACTTCCCAAACATTTGTATCTAACGAGATAAAACATTTCGAACTTCCTAAATAAAATTAATTGAAAAAAACAGCTAAAAATGATTTCAAATGCATTAGCCAAATCAATGCAACAAAAACAAAATCATTTTCAGTAAGTTAGAGATTTTTTTTCAAAACTGATTCTATCCATATTCATTCCAACTCCCAGCAATATCTTTTTCCGTTTTCACAAGATAACCTACTAAAGAAAAATTAAATTGTATGCAGTGTATATTCTATTATGCACTCACTTAAACCATCATGCGGTAAATGAATCCACGTTATGTTATTACTTACGGTAGTCATTATGTATTTTCAAATTAACTACGAAGTTATTTTCCTTGCCTGGCCGACAATTGAGCAAAATTAGCTGATATTTTTCATATAAGACTAATCACAGGCAGATCTACGGGGAGGGAAGAGCTTTTGGGTTGAAGCCTCCCCCAAAATTGTAAAATGTAACTATTTTATGGAAGAAAATTTTTAAAATTATCTCTTAATGTAATTAAATTGTTCATGTAATTACATTTAATAGGACTTCAAGTATCGCTCATACACTATTTCATATTGGTAGTTAGTTTCTTTTCTTTTTTTTGTTTCCAAAGTATTTATCGTTACATATATGAAAAAAAAAAACCTATCGGGATGAAGCTCTCTCTCCCAAATTAAATCCTGGATCCACTAGTTAGACCAGTAGTACAGGAAAATTAGGGATAGCCCAAACAGAAAAAAAAAAAAAAACTGAGGGAACATGTTAGAAATCGTTCATTACACTCTTCTTAATTACTGGTAAAAAGGCATAAAGTTTTGAGCCTAGGGTTGATGAAGTTTTGATGGGATTATGAACAGGAGGACAGAAAACTTTTTTTAAATCTCAAAACTATGAGGTTCATCAAAAAGACTATCCAATACAAAGCTAAAGTACATCAAAATCTCAATAAAAATTATGCTGATCGAAGAGGATGATCTGCGGAAGATCTACAAGACATTCTTTCTTAATGATGTGCAAATAGTCTAATCGCAATATATATTTGGAAGATATATGGTAGCCCCTTCTCATACTACACAGTTTTGTTCGATTTGGTAATTCGAAACAGAGCCATCCGCTGAATCGTCACTAATCATACTTATAGGCTAAACCCTGTCCAATAAATGTCTATGTCTCTTAAGATGATGGTCTGAGTCTAAAAGCCTATTCGTACTGGCCAACATCAAATTCATTCTTTCAGCTTCATCTTTCTTTGGTTGTTCGAGGCCACCACACCAGCTAGATCATCGATATTAGCCGTGGAGGAGAACCTCTTCTAATAACACTCCCAGCAGTTCGTTAAAAACCAATATCCATAGGGAAAGACCAAAGACAATACTCAGGGGCAACGCATTTCCAAAGTCTCCTACTATAAACAAGCTACTCTGTGTTTAAATGTCTCGTCCGGGAGGAAACTTCTCGATAATTCATACAAGTTCCTAAGAGTCTCGTACTTGTGTAACAGTTTGAGTACCTTTGGCCACCAAACACTATCAAAGGTGAAGGGTACATCAAATGGGACAAGCATAACATATTTCTCCACCATTAAATTGATTAAATCAGGAGAACCTAGGGGAGCCCTTTTAATCATGGGAGTATGATGTTTCAATTTCCTTAGGAACAGAAGATTGACGATCCTTACTTTGTTGTAAGAAATTCACCTGGTTCATAAATTTGTTTCCGCGTCCTTTTGGACTACAAGAAATGGTATACAGCCGAAATCCGTAAACAAATTAAAACCGAAATTAGAAAATAAAAGTGTTTGTTATGGATTGGAAGAGTAATAATTCAGTTTCCTAATTTTCTCGACAAAATCAAATTAAAAAATACATTTTCAAGTATTTTATTTTTTTGTTAAAATTCGTAGTTAATAATTCAAAGAGCTCTTGTATACTTATTATTATTTATGAAATTTACAACTGTACAATTTAATATACATTCAACAAATGTGATACAAAGAAACATATGACATGACAAGGCTTGTAGAGAATCTACCCATTGGTAGCACTCTAATAAAGTATCTTAAAGTAGATCAAGAAGCTATTTTCTTTTCATACGCCTAAGAGAGTTATCAGGGATCGCGGAGGAAGCAAGATTAGAAACGAGAGGATTAGAATGGTTCTGAAGTTTATTATGGAAGGATGGATATCTGGATTGGGCCAAATCGGAAACATACGGAACATTCAGATCATTATATTAGTTACAAAATAAGGAACATTAAGGATTTTACGAAGGATTTTGTATTGTAAAGATTGGATACGAGAGAAATTCGATAGTTTAGTGGAGCCCCATAGCTCAACCCCGTAAGTCCAAATAGGTCTTATTATGGTCATGTTTATGAGCCTTAATTAACTGAAAGGTTAGAGCGTTTGTCTAGTAAGTGCTGAAGTAATCGGAAACGTCGAGCGGTTTCTTGTCGTTTCAGTCTGGTATGAGAATTCCAAGTTAGAAGTTTGTCCAGGTGGAGTCCTAGGTTAAAGGACTCTAAAAACGAATCGAATAGTTTAATTCGTAATGAACATTTACTTGGCCTACTTTCTTTGAAATATCTTTTAGTTTTTGTTATTTCTGATTTATTTAAACTCATTTAATACAATCAGTAATGTTTTTCCTTATTTTACAAAAAAAAGAAATCAATTGGTTTATAATAACATTAAATTCCGTGCAAAATAATGGAAAAAAATATATAAAAAATTGTTGAAATCATATAAAGTAACTCTTTTTCGCGGCATTTAAAGCTAATTGCAACGAACGACGATTTTATGTCCAATATTTTTCAATGTAAAACCAAAAAAAAAATAATAATGTGATTGAAATCGGTGACTCACTGACTGTTATCTTACTTCACTTTCTCAGTGGAACAATGTTGAAGTGTAAGAAGCAGAAGTATTTCTACATCCATGTTTAGAATCTATTGTCGGCTATGGATAAACTTAATTTTTTTATGAAGATTTGTATATTCCAGAATATATCTATCTGACGTCACAAAAAAAATATAGCATCGAAATTTACTGTTTTCAGAATAATTTTGATTGGACCATTATTTTAATTTGAAACCTGATAAAGAAAGGAAAATGACATCCAAAATATTGCCCAAATTAGTAGTATTTGATCTAGGTAATTAAGTTAATTACCGTTATTTATTTACTTATAATAATAACTTAATACAGAAATATAATCACTTCTTAGATTATACATTGTGGCCTTTTTGGATTGACACTCATGTAACACCTCCTTTTCGAAAAGACAAGTAAGGGTTACTATCCTATCAGCACATAATGTTTTAAATTTTTATTCCATATAATGCTTTCATCTCTTCTTGTGTATGGTATTCTGAAACAGGAATATCATTGTTGATCTGCATGGTAGCAAAGTTGATACCTACAAGGAATCGACCCTAGTTTTGCAGAAACTTGGAGAACTTAAATGTGATATGGCTGTTGCTTCACGGACTAGTGAAATAGATGGAGCTAATCAATTAATTAAACTTCTTGATTGGGAAAGTTTCTTTAAATACAAGGAAATATATCCGGGTTGCAAAGTTTCACACTTCAAACAGTAGGTTTTAATAATTATGATATTAATATCAATTATATTATTATAATAACATTCATGATTGTTATTATTTTTGACTAAAAATTTTAAGCTAATTAATTATTTTGTAAAAATTCTGTTCTTTGACCATATGTCTTAATGCCATACCCATAGACAGACCATATACTACTTAATGTATGCATGCATTTACTGATGTTCTTAATTATATAATTAATTAGTTGGGAAAACCTAGCGGTTGTGCATGATCCTGGTTCCATCAGGTTCCTGCTCAACAGTTTGCCTTGAAACAATACTTCCTTACGAAGCACTGAACCCAATACCCTTCATGGATTTTAGTGTTAAAAGTTTTTTTTTTTTTATTTCTTAATATACCCTCTCCATTGGAACACATATGAACAGGATCAGCATACCCTTAGCAAGAAAAAAGTTTGTATATATCAAATTATTAAAGCTCGAGATTGAAAAATGAGAACGCTCATCGAAATATATAGCTTGGCCGTTCTGTTATAATGGGACATAATGGATTATTTAGTGGTGAGAGACTGGATTATTTAGTGATAGAAGGAGTCCAAAAGCCCCAAACAATTTTTTTTTTCTCTTCACCATAACTGCTAAAAGAATTGTCCGAAGTACCTTCCTCCAACACTATCAGTTAAGAGAGAAAGGAGGGCCATAATGAAAATGACTATATTGCTTATTTTTACAAGGGCTGAGTCTTGTGCTTCTGTATGCTGACCAGCCATAATTATCTCCCAGACATTGTTATGGGAAAAATAGTCACATCTCTCCAAAATTTTAGAGAAAAACGTATAGAAGTAAACGAAACTCAGGAAACATGCAATTTATGGTGGATTACGCTACCCTCATGATTATTTAAAATGTTTATAAATTCCCTAAAAAACTTTTAAAATAATCGTCAAAATTGGGCCATTAGTAATAAAGAGACAGTCTAGCAATTTGGACACATGTTTTAGTTTAATATTATGAAATAACTATTGAACTTTTACCAGAAAAACAAAAATTAATTATCCCATATCATAATACATTGCATTAACTTATTTCTATATTATTTTGTTAATTGTAAATGTGACCAATATGTCACATATATAATATCGCACAGTATCCAGATTATTCACACAGGCCAATTAGCATTATTTAACAAACCTTATAGCAAGCAAAATTATATTAATCAAATTTTAATTTTAAGACAGCATTGATTTTAGATGTATCTTGTTTTAAAAATTCAGTTATCACGAAAAAAGTTCAATATGGTAAATTTGATTCAATATGGTATATCATTCAGCATACTGCCATAACTATAATAAATAATCATAAAAATGTATTGCAAAAATAACAATAGTTATTGATATTAAGTATTACACTTGAAGCAATGATATCTTTAATGTATTGTCATATAAATTATAACACAACCCAACTCAATTCAAACATTTTTATAAGAGCTTAAAACAAACTGCTTAATTTTAATGCCAATAACATCCTAAAACATTATAGCACATTTGAAACTCAAAAAGTCTTGAAAACATTAATTAGACATATACATGTTTACCATTCTATCAGAATTGAAGAGAGTTATACAGTTAGCTACCTAACTCATTTTAGTCAAAAATCGAATTTGGTGATATTAGAATCTATATGACGTTATAGTAGCTTTCTTTCATTATTATTTTTGCAAGCATTATTTCATTATTGTACTTTCTTTGTATTTATTTATTTTTTCTATTTAAAGAAAAATACTAAGAAGTAAAATTATAAATTACTGCTATCTGTTGAAATAACAAAAAATAAATCAAAAGCTAATGCAAATTTAAAATTATTTTTTTGAAATATAAATTAGAAAATTGGTTACATTTAAGTAATGTTCTCTATTACCTTTGTAATAAAAGAAAAAATGTATAATCTGGTATGCCTGATTTTTAATTTGATTGCATACAACTAAGGGGCAAAAAAAAAAGAACTCATTGGGGTGCTAAAGAAAGTTACACTGTTAAAGTATATTTTATTTAAATAATTTAATAAATTTCACAAGATTTATTTCTGAAAGGAAAATATATATATTTTTTTAAATTCTTTTTTTTAAGGGTACCATAATGTATTTTTAGTTTTAAAGGCGTGCAAACACTTATTTTTAATCTTCATAGTTAAATATTATTGATTATATTTTGATTGAAAGATAATTTTAATCAACTAATCATAGATTATTCCAGGTTTCATAAACTATCAAATATAAGATATGAGGATATGTTATTTTTTGATGATGAGCGTCGAAATATCATGGATCTTCGTAAATTAAATGTCACTTGTATCTTAGTCGAAGATGGAATGACATTAAAGTTATTACATGAAGGTCTTAAGCAATATGCAGAAAAACATAAATGATGTATTATCATTTGAATGTATCTTTAATTTAAAAGTTTATTCTATAGGTGATGTTTTTTTGTAATTTATATTTTAATTCCCTTTCAGTATCTGTTTATTTAACAGATTAATTAATGTTTTAATATATTAAAAATTAAGTAATAATAATAAACATAAGTAATTGTAATAAATCATAGTTATTAAATCTTTGTTAGACTCAATAGATTATTCGTGAGATCAGATTTTGGAAAAAAACAATTGTTATACTGAGATCATTTATTCTCAGGAAATATTTTATGAGAAAAGAAAAAAATATGATTTTGCATTCTACAAAACAAAATAATAATAACGGTTTTGATATAATAAATTCTGCTCTTAATTAATAAGAGATAAAGTAAAAGTAAAGCATTGCTAATGGTTTAAACAATGAAAACCAACCGTTCAAGAAATATTTAGTAACTTGAATACAAATTATAATATTAATGAATATAACAAATTACCTATAGCTTAATTTCTGCAGTTTCTTAATAAAAAAATTGAATACTTAATTATAATGATAATTTTACATATTGGTTTATTTCCAAAAGTCATTAAGTAAAATTTCAGAAAATTAAATCACTTATCACTTCTATGAATCTTCTGTATTTTATATATAAAAGGGTTAGTGATATTTTGATGTACTTACTTTGTTTTATGTTTTTGTCATAAAAATTTACATAAACATATGGTCCCATCAGAAATGTACTTAGTGTCTTTTTGTAATATAAATCCTGTTTGTATGTTCTGAACAGTCAAATCTCTCTTTCCCTCCTCTCCTAATATAGCAACTAAGATTATTTATTTAAAAAAAAATATATATATATATATATATAAAATCTAAAATACTCAATTGAGCTATAGTAAGTAGAGATGCAGAAAGCTACTTGGAAGTTTAGCAAATATGTAAGTATGCATAATATCAGCGAAAAAGAAAAATTGTTTCTATTTGATCTTACAGATATGTTTTCCTAACAGAGATCTAATAATTTTTATAGTAGATTGTATTTTTACATTCTCCATCCCATATACTGTGTATATATTGTATATATAAACTTGTTTTTGTTAAATAAATTGACATCTTATTTGTAAGTTATTGATATTCTTTATATTGATACTCAATATATATATTTATGTTTATCTATTCCTAGATGTGATTATTAGTGTTCCTTTGGAATTTTCAAGTGTGAATGTAACATCAAGATATGAACCTCTCAGTTGAGAGAATGACTAACTCCAATTCAAATATGTTTTACTGTTAATTTTAGTGATATTTCTTGAAGGAAAATTTATATTTTTATTCACAATTCCGTTCTATATTTCAACACTGCAATCATCCACTCTGGAACCAACTTACTCTCTGTACAGATATTGTAAATTTTTCAGCTAGAAATATCACTAAAATTACTACTCAAAAATGTTGAAATTGGAGTAAGCCATTCTGTAAACTGAAAAGTTCCTATGATAATAAGAAAAATATTCAGAGGGTCATGTGTATAAAGGTAATTTTTGAAAAAATAAAATTAAATAAGATTAAGATTGTAAAGTGATATATTTTCAATATTTCTTTCTTTTGTATAACTTAACATTGAGCTCATAACCAAGTTAAAAATTGTGCCAAGGGAATTTAAATTTCTGTTTTGTATTGGATAAAGATGACTTTAATTAGATTTTCTTAAAACTAGAAAAATACTTAATTTATATTCATAATTAAAATTTTAAAGTACAATTTTTCCAATACATTTTATTGTATAAATAACATCTAACTTTAGTTTAAACAAGAGATCAGTTATAAACATAAATTAAAGAGAGAAATGTAAAAGGTATGATTGCAACAGGATAGAAAATTTTCTTCAATACTAAAAATCCTATTTAAATAATCATTTTTAGAGAAGAAATAAAACAAAAGAAAAGATATGTAAATACTATCAATTGTTGGTGGAATAGTAAATATTTTTAATCAACAACATTTATTTTTTTATAATTTATAGTGTAACAAATACACCATTAATAATTTACAAATTGTAAATTATTATTTATTATAATATGAATTCTAATAAAAATATTCATATTAAAATTTGGAAACAATAATTATTGAAATTTTTCCATTTTACTATCCTTTAAAGATGCATTAACAATATATTTTACACTTAACTCATATTTTTCATTGATCTGCTCTGCACAGTGTGCAGGCAATTTTATAGCCCTATGAGACCAATAATCTAAAAAAGTTGCCTATCATTCATAGAAATAATTCTATGACATTTGATTAATACAAATAAATAAAACATGAAGACTTGCAATATTTCTTTTTAAATGTCAAATTTTATAAAAATTATTAATATGGTAAAAAACATCAATTTAGAATAAACTTGATGATTTATTAATATAATTTATAACCCAACATAATTATAAAGATATGGTAATAAGGAAAATAATCAGAGGGTCAAGTGTAGGAAGATGATAAATGATATTTTTGAAAAAAATATGTAAAATGATACATTTTCAATATTTCTTTCATATAACTTGAAATTTAGTTCATAGCCAAGTGAATTTAAATGTCTACCTTTTATTGGATAAAGATGATTTAGTTTTCTCAAGACTCAAAAAATACTAAATTTATATTCATTATTAAAATTTTAAAGTACGATTGTTCCAATACATTCTATACAAGCAAGTTTTGTTAAAATCCTACAGCCATTCCAGTCTGTAGTGAAACAGATTTTTTGGTCACCATTTTGAAAGGAAAGGGCGGGTTGTAACATTGAGTTAAAAGCATCGTCCTCATGTGACCTCTAACTTTAATTCCAAATCTAAAAAAATCGGAGCAGCAGACTCGGAGAATAGCCATGGACGGGGATATTTTTTTGTATAGGATTTTCGGATTCTAGTTTCTTGAAACTTCAAATTTTGTGGAGTGATTAGTTTTTTGTTTTTCTTGATCGATTACAATGGTTCATTATTGAAAATAATAAACAAAAACAGATAATATAGATTTTTAAAGAATTTGATAACTATCTAAAAGAAAAATATTTTCCATGGTTAAAAACAATTTTCCAGAAATAAGAGTGGTATTATAGATGTATAAAGATTATATAAAAAATAATATCTAACATATTAGAACATACAAGGTAATGAATAATTATGAAAAACTAATGACTAATAATAATTATAAATATTGTTGTTACTAATAATACTAAATCATTGAATGTGATTAAAGTGTACAGTAACTAGAAACTTTTAAAATTATTTTCAAATTGACATCAAAAAATATATAATGTAGAGAATTGTCATACCTTGTAGTCCGAGAGCCTTATAGCCCTACATAAAAATTAACATTATTTGATCAAAACTTGGAGAGCATTGGTTTTAATATTTATAACATTTATATAAAAAAAATGAGAGTCTGCCATTCAGATCTTGCTACTTATAAAGTTGGTGGCTGACTTAAAGAATATTAGGCTAGTAACTAGTGCTGGTTTTAGGGTGGGGCAACCTGGAGGGACGCCGACCGATTTTCTTGTCAGAAATTTAAAAAAAATAAAATAAAATAATTAATTTTAGCTTATCAATAAAGCTGATATTTATAGTCTGGTCAATAAAGCTGTATTAGAAAAATGCCGAATAAAATAAAATTTAAATACTAAATAATCTAAAACAGGTTAAGAACTAAATTTAATTTTTTTAGGTGGGAGATGACGGCATTGCCCGGGGGCACTGAATGTCTTAGGCCTGCACTGCTAATAACTTGAGGATTGAAACGGGAAATTCATTGCAAAAACGTGAGAAAAGTTTTTAATTTTTTAACTTGTATATATATAATATGGTTTTAGACATTTAAAAAACAAAATTTTTATTGCAAACAAGCAAGGTAAAACTTTTGATAGCAAAAAGATAGTTTTTTTGAACTTTTTTTGTTGTTTCTCTTTTAATTCCTAAACGGTGCATCGAAGAAAAAAATGTTCTTTTTGAGTAATTAAAGAACGTTAAATTGTGCGCTGATCGAGTACCTAAACTTAATAATTTCTCACATTTTTTGCAATGCATTTCTTGTTTCGATCCTCACGTTACTTGCCTAATATTCTTTGAATCAGCTGCCCTTTTCACAAGTAGCAAGATCCCGCTGGCAGACTCATTTTCTTACTATAAACATTCAAATAAATGCTTTCAAAGTTTTCATCAAATTATGTCAGTTTTTTTGCATGATCTCTCAGGCTGTTATATTAATTGTCATAAGTTTGTAGTTCATGTAATCTTCTTAAGGTTTATTAATATTTAAAAATTAATTTCTACTAAAATTAGAATGTAAGAACAGTCAAACACATTTTTTCTTGTTGACTTACTTTAATTACAAAGATTAATTATTGGTATAATTATCTACTGGTGTACCCCGTACAGCAGATGTCTTTAACCGTTTTCAACCACAAATTTTCAATAAGATGTTATATTAATATTCTTTTATGATGTAGAGATGGTTGACCGTTGATATAATATGAGAAGGAGTTAATCCGGGGGTGCGGTCAAATAAATACTAAATTAAAATATAGTAATTATTTAATTTTTGCCCCATAGTTAAGTTAAGACCCACTTTGCAGGTTGTCTTCAGGGCTAAAAAAGATACAAAACGTGTTGAAAAACACGTTTTTCAATTTAGTATTTATTTGACCGCACCTCCTGATTAACTCCTTCTAATATTCTTTTATATTTAGTAATTAATTAGTATTCATCACCATAATATAAATGGCTTCATATCAAAGAGGGATATGTCATTTTCACAAAGTGGAGAAAAAGACGATTTTGTTTTATAGATTCAACTCATACTGTTTTGATGATTTTAATTAATTAAGAATGTTCTAGGTGAATCATGAAAAAAAATATTATAATTGGTTTCAATTGAATCTATGTTACCAAAATTAACTTTTTCTCAACTTTTTAAAAATGATATCCGTCTTTGATATGAGACCACTCATATATAAGTAATAATTGCTATCAGGAGCTAATTTTGACAAGACCACAATAGTAAACTTTATATTGTACTTCTAACTTCTCCATTTCAATCACATTTTTTATCTCATGGC